TGTATTTCCCTTTATTACTTTCCAACCCCACCACCCTTTCCCTAATTGGAGTAAACTAGTGAACAACAATGCTTAGGCCTCTACTTCCAGCTTATACATACTCTATATATTTTATGGACAGTCAATTTTACAATAATTCTATTTTGTTTGTTTTTACTCCTGAACCTCCTCTACCCTCAACCTCTCCGATCATTTTCATGATGTCCATCCGGTTTGCTTCTATATGCCATATCTCTCCAACTGTGCTCCTTCACAAAAGCTCTCAACCTATAACCTATATACTTATTATGGACACAGCATGCCCTACATTAGTTATCTTAATGTTATTAGTTGTTGTTAGTAGTCCCGTGTAGCTCAGTTGGTAGAGCATGGCGCTTGCAATGCCAGGGTGGTGGGTTTGATTCCCACGGTGGGCCAGTATGAAAAATGTATGCACTCACTAACTGTAAGTCGCTCTGGATAAGAGCGTCTGCTAAAACGTAATGTAAATGTTATTAGTCCCATTCAACACCTCCCATCTATCTCTTAACGCCATCCATATTGGATTTCTATTTGCCATATATTTTTCAACTGTACTGTGATGTTTCACAAAAGTTCTGAACCCTTCTATTCTCATTGTTTCTACAGATTGTAAATTGAAAATAACACTTTTTGCTAAAAGTATTATTATATTATTGATCGATTGACTATGACTTTTCAGATCACCCAGTAGTGCTATCTGCAGGGTTAGCTCCAGGTAAATATTGCAATCCTTCAGCCATTCCTGGACCTGTGACCAAAAACAAGCCACAAATGGACAGTACCAAAACAAATGATCTAATGATTCTGTCTTTTCGCAGCAAAATCTGCAGAGCTGGGAAGATTGTATCCCCCATATAAATAACATTCTATTGGTAGCAAGAATTTTGTATAACAATTTAAATGGAAAAATTATAAGTTTTGAATCCGGCGTCATTTTGCGTATCAGTTCATAAACACTATGCCATGGAATCGGTACGTCAAAAATCTCTTCCCAACTATTTTGCAATCTATATGGGACGGCTGTCAATCCTTTGGTTCTTAAATGAAACTAGCATACTTTTTTATTTATCACAATTTTCTTTAACCAATTATGTTCTTTAATGCAGGGCCGACAGACAAGTTCCTTACTTTTCCCCCTTGCACATTCCTCTTCCATTTTTGCGGTAATGCTGCAATTATTTGGTTGTAATTTTGTGTAGAGCAGACATTTCCATATGTTTTTGTTAGCTGCATGTTCGACATAACTCCACCAGTCCTACCGATGATATCATTTATGAAGATTATATACCTTTTTTAAACATTTTTTCAAAATATACTGGCTTTTTATCAATTAGAATATTTGAGTTTAACCACAATATTTGTTGCATTATTTGTTCTGTCGTTTCTGGAGGATTAAATTGAAATTGCAACCAACTTTCTATTGCTTGTTTTAGAAATAGTGATATTTGCGAGATTATTTCCTTTTCAAATAACTGAAAGTGAGAGGTTGTAATCTGAATAAAGGGAAAAAGGCCATTCTTGAACATTGGGTGAGACAATCTTACTAATTTTCTAGAGAACCAGTTCGGATTTAAGTATAACTTTTGTATGACTGAAGCTTTTAGTGATAGGTCTAATGCTTTAATATGTTATAATTTCTGTCATCCAAATTCATATTCATTATATAAATAGGCCCGTCTGGCTTGCCGTTCCAAATAAAATGGAATATTTTTTTCTCATATAATTTAAAAAACTGTTCGCTAGGCGTAGGCAAGACCATAAGCAAATAGACAAACTGAGATAATACTAAAGAGTTAATCAGGGTGATTTTTCCACAAATAGACAGGTATTTACCTTTCCAGGGTAGCAGGATATTATCTATTTTTGCTAACTTTCTATTAAAATGTATTGGAGTGAGATCATTTATTTCATTTGGGATATGTATTCCGAGTATATCCACATCACCATCTGACCATTGTATTGGTAACTACATGGTAATGTAACATTTTAATTTTTTAGTGATCCAATACGTAATATAGTGCATTTATCATAATTTGGTTGTAATCCAGAGAGGTTAGAAAATGTATCTAGATCCTCTATGAGGCTGTGGAGGAATTCAAGTTGTGGATTTAAATGAAAACATGAATCATCAGTGTACAATGACACCTTTGTTTTTAAGCCCTGGATTTCTAATCCCTTGATATTATTGTTGGATCTGATTTTAATAGCTAACATTTCGATGGCCATAATAAATAGATATGCCGATAGTGGACAACCTTGTTTTACTCCTCTTGACAGTTTAAAACTTTCTGAGAAATAGCCATTATTTACTATTTTACACCTAGGGTTACTATACATGATTTTAACCCATTTTATAAGAGATTCTCCAAAATTGAAATGCTCCAGGCATTTATATATCAACTCCAGTTGTACTGTATCAAATGACTTTTCAAAGTCTGCTATGAATAGCAGGCCTGGTTTCCCAGATTTTTCATAGTGTTCTATTGTTTCCAGTACTTGCCTTATATTATCTCCAATGTATCGTCCATGTAAAAAACCTGTCTGATTAGAATGAATAATGTCCGACAATACATTTTTTATTCTATGCGCTATACATTTTGCTAGAATTTTTGCATCACAACACTGAAGTGTAAGGGGCCTCCAATTTTTTTAATGGACTGGATCTTTATATTTCCCACTTGTATCCTGTTTCAGTAATAATGAAATCAGACTTTATTCTTGAGTGTCTGATAATCTACCATTTACATAGGAGTGGTTAAAACATGCTAATAACTGTCCTCTGAGTATATCAAAAAAGGTTTGGTATACCTAGACTGGTATGCCGTCCAACCCTGGAGTTTTCCCGGACTTAAAGTCTTTAATTGCATCCAGAAGTTCCTCCTCTGTAATTTCACCTTCACATGAGTCTTTCTGTATGGCTGTTAATTTTACATTATCAATATAAATAAATCCCTACAATTAGCTTCAGTTAGAGGAGATGGACGCAACTGAAATGAAAACATATGCTTAAAGTACTTTGCTTCCTCCTTCAAAATATAATTTGGTGAATCATGGGTGACTCCATCATTTGTAATCAGTTTCAGTAAATTCTTTTTGGTAGCATTTCTATGTTGAAGATTTAAAAAGAATTTGGTGCATGCTTCCCCATATTCCATCCAGTTTGCTTTATTTTTATAATATATTACACTTGATCTTTCTTGAATAAGTTTCTCCATTTCTTTTTGTTTTTCCTCTAATTTATTCTGAGCCTCTATGTTACCGTTTTTATTGCTATCTATCTGTTCTGTTAAACCTTCTATTTCCTTTGTTAGTATGTACTCTTTTGACCTACATTTCTTTTCTTTTCGAGATGAGTACTGAATTGCATGGCCTCTAAAGGCACATTTAAAAGTGTCCCATAAAATATGGGGATTTGCTGTACCTATGTTATGTCGGAAAAAATCAGTTAAAAATGTCTCTGTCCTAGTTCAAAACAAGTTATCATCCAATAGGCTTTGATTAAATTTCCAATATCCTCACCCACGTGGAAATTCAGTAAGAGTAATGTATATGCCAATTATATGATGGTCCGAGAGAGAGTGTTGACTATATGAAGTGCCAGGAGTTTTTTTTATTGTTGAAAAGGGCAATTCACAATCTCTATGTCACTGAGGTACTGTGTTCAAGTACCCAATGAGTGGTATTCTATTAATATTTGTATATCTAGCTGTGCCACTAGAGATCCTGGTTCGAATCCAGGCTCTGTCGTAGCCGGCCGTGACCGGGAGACCCATGGGGCGGCGCACAATTGGCCCAGTGTCGTCCAGGGTAGGGGAGGGAATGGCCGGCAGGGATGTAGCTCAGTTGGTAGAGCATGGCGTTTGCAACGCCAGGGTTGTGGGTTCGATTCCCACGGGGGGCCAGTATGAAAAAATAAAAATAATAATGTATGCACTCACTAACTGTAAGTCGCTCTGGATAAGAGCGTCTGCTAAATGACTAAAATGTAAAAATGTAATCCTCACATTCCACTTTCGTGGCTCCTCCTGTTCCTTAAAATAGGAAAAAACAGCTGCAGCAGGACACATGGAGTGAGCATGGATGGACATTTTAGTCATTTAGCAGACGCTCTTATCCGGAGCGGCTTACAGTAGTGAGTGCATACATTTTTCGTACATCATCTTCACCCCCGTCCTAGTGCATATAGCCAGATACCCCCACCCCCTCTGTTTTCAAGTGAAGTGCTTCATCCCTGGCCTGGCCAGCCACAGCCTGTTGTGTTAATGCTACTGCCAGTGTTAAGACAGGCTATTAGAAAGGCTATTAGCAGGCATCTGATCCTAGTTGACCTTAAAATCCCATCAGCTGTCCCCACATAGAGCTTGTTAGTTGACATGTGAGAACAACAACATTTTTGGAAAACCCCATCTTGGTTAAATTAACATATAGTATATAATGTATATGACAGATGTAAACATAGTGACCACTCACACGTTAGATTGGCTGATGTCCTCCAGAGTAGCTGAGGCGGTCAGATATCTGTAAACACAGAGGTAGATTATCATCACAGCTCTATCTTGCAGAGCACTAAGTACCGAACATGAGCGTGCCTTTCAGGAGTATGCAACTATCAAGCCAAGCTAAAACAGGGTGCTGACATTGCATGCTTTTCCACAACGTTCTGTCAGAAATAATAATACCTACAATAGCTGCTTTGGCAGGCATGGTTCTTGGTTGACCTTTGCCCAACTTTTACTCACATTAGGTCAGAGTCAAAACTTCCCTGGTTCATTTGCAAAGGCTCTTCATTAGTTTGAAATATATTCACAGTTTTGGAATGCCTTCAATTCTGATACTATTCTGATGCTATTTCTGATTTATTATTGTCAAGGACTTTATAATACCTCAGGTTACTTTAAGACATTTTTCTGGTGGTGATGGTGTATAGGCGGTTGAAGCTGCGTGACACCATGAGGGCATCTCACAGGAAGTACTTACACATTGGAGGTTTGGACTTCATGCCAGCCTTTGGACATGTTCTGTTTAATCTCACTGAAGGGGCCCATACCCAGCTGCCTCTTGATGTCCACCGCATATTTCTCTTTGGCCAAGAGGACCTGCCGTAATGTCTGTATCTCATCCTCTGTCTGAGCAGAACAAAATGACAGAAAATATTACCTTCAAGGATCCAGAGGTATAGTTGAGACATAATTGGATTGGAAATTATTCTATGACTTGTCTTTTTTCATTCATTTGGGTATGATGCAAAATAACATCTGAACAAAATATTATCTTAAGAGACACATTCAACATACATGAATATGACAATGTTTGACAACATGAAGAATGGGACAAAATGGCAACGTTGGACAAACACTGAGAGAAGAACACCTTTGCTAGCTCCATCTTTAAATCATCCTCATCCTCCTCTGATAGACCGTTAGTCAGACCATTTCTTGATATTCCAATGGAAATGTTCCTTGGTGAAACATTCTCCCCACTGTAACCTTTTAAAGGAGTATAGATGTTACTGTCTGCAATGCATACCATAAATGCTCTGCCATACATTTTCGATCAGTTGTTGACATTAATTACTGTAGCTACTGTCTATTCAAACAGGCAATTCATCTTCAGGAAGTAAATAATCGTGAAGTCTAGCTCACAAGGACAGGCTGAAAATGTCCTGAACGAATGAGTAGTTACATCATGTAGGCCAGCCACTGTGTTGACCCAGTACGTTGTACTCACTTTCGCCCAGTGCGCTGTCCATGGTGATGAATTATATGGCTACCTGTAGATCTAGCAATAACATTGCGTGTGGCCTGTCACGCATAGCAGGAGAGGCAACCCGTACTGTCTAATATAAAGTATTTTATCTCACCGTGTGATTCAGAGTAGGATGTCAGTTGGTCATTAAACAATTCAACAATCTAGATTTAGCTAATTAAATGCAACGGACTTACCTTGCCTATTCATGATCAGCAAAGGTATGAACAACTCCGTTTCACCAGGCACGTCTTTTCCGTGTTCAAGCTAACGTTAGCTCTTGCTAAATGGAGTCCAATCCCTGCTCGTCGATACTAGATCTCTCAAATGCTTCTCTATGCTCAAATTCAGCCTCGCGCAATGGTTTACATGCCTAAGCCATTTACAGAAAAGCGAAGAAAACTATATATATATATATATATATATATATATATATATATATATATATATATATATATATATATATATATATATATATATACTACTATAATGTAGTCTTATTGGAATAGTAACGTCATGTTCTTTATTCAAGAGGAAAAAGCAACCTGTAATTTTGAGAATGAGAGATAAATCTTCCGCATGTGAGTGTGTGTGTGATAATAGGGGGTGCACTCCGGTTGGGTAAACAAATAAGATATATTTTTATACAGAACATGCGCCACATTGATCATCGATGCTATTTTATAGTATAGGCTACTTTATCCAATTCATGTAGTAAGAACTTTGCTGCTGCTGCGGGAAACACAATTTGGGCACCTGTGTAGACTGCTGGGTCTTTGGGAAAATATCCATCAGGTGGTAAAATGAGTGAACGTGCTAAAGAGAGGATTCTACAGCACGGGCTCTGTCTCCATCTACTGGCAAAATCAATGCACCAAGCCGACTTTCATATTCAAGTGTAGGCTTACAGTCCTTCATAGGCTTATTTGAAGGTACCGGTAGACCTACTAGAATATCATATTTGCAGCATACTGTAGTAGCATTAGAATTGAAATGATAAACAAAACAACAGTAAATGTTCATGAACATTTATTTAACAACAGCAAATCAGATCAATGACCCACTTTGTTTTCTTTCACACACATTACCATGCTACAACATAAAGGTCCAGATTTATACTTAATATTTAAGTGTATGTACAACAGACCTTAACCATTCAACCATGCGTTGCAAAATTTAATGGCCACATCAAAAAAACATACCATTTATAACTATAGCCGTTCATCATCAAAAACATGACAAAATAAGTTAACTTAAATAAAATAAATGTAATAAAATTACTATATCACTATCATTACACTATATACTATGTCGTCTGTATCAAGACATTTTTATGGAACCATTTCCTGATCATTGGTCCAGTAGTTTTAGTGAACACACATTGCATTCAACTCATTTAACAATTAGCATTTTCCAACATCTCAATGAAGAAGCGATAACAGGTAGATATATCTATGGGAGGGGGTGTGAGGGGGAGGGGGGCACAGCAAACACTGTAAAAGGACCACACAGGTCAAACAACCATATCATCAAAAGCAGAGGGCAGGCGAGAGGAGCTCAGACATCCATTGTAAACCATTGAAACATAATTGGCATTAATGAAACAAACAAATTATGAAGATAATGGCTGGTTATGGCAGGTTATGTATTAGTTACACTGGACATATATTTAGTTGTATATATTTATATTAAAAACATAAGTCTATTCTGGTTATAGGATAAGAGCTGCCTGTGGTAGTGCTAGCCCACTTATGAAATGACTTATGAGCTAAGAAAGTACCAATATCGACACTCAAAATTCAATGATGGTCAAAACAAATGAACACAGCATTGGACAATTACAACATAATTCCCTTCAACACAACTATAAAAAACAAGATGATGATAATATTTTTCAAATGCTCCCAACTTTTCCCTACACAGTACTATTTTTCATCACATCTAAACATACATGAATAGTGCTTGGAATGAAAATATGTCACCCTCTAAATTGGATCAGGTCAAGGTCCTTGGCTTAGACAGTGTGGGGTAACACTCGGAACCACAAGAAAATTGGAACCACAAGGAAATTAAGCACAGGTAAAACATAAAATATCTGGATATTGAGAATATCCACTCAAATGTGCAGAGAAGAGTTGCTCAGAGATGTCTGGGTCGCGTCCCAACAATCCAATGGGACTGTGGGTGGCACAGTGGCAAGTAAAAGTACACAAAATATACATGACTACATGTGTTAAAAAACCTATGTATGATATTTATCTTCTGGTGTTAGTCAGTTCTTCGATGCAGGGAAGTCAGGGGCAAGATTACATGCATTCAATTCAGATTTTAGGGGCAGGACAAAGCAATGCTTCCTTCACACAAGAACAGACCAAACCAAGCCAATTCAAGACCCACCAAATGTTAAGAAAGCAATGATGTCACCATCAGTATTTCATGATATTGCCATCATAAAATGCAGCTTGTGTGCCCTGCCCTCCCTGCCCTCCATCCCCACCCCGCTTCTACAGGCACAGATCTCAGGGCAATATAACCACAATGCAAAAGGAAGGGCACCAACACAGGTAAACGTGAGTCAACATCTATGGGTTTAAAAGTGGTTGAAGGAAAGGAGCTATATGTTTATAACTGGCATCAGTTGATGGCAATTCTAAACTGAGAATTGTGTAGCTCTATTTTGAATGTTTAATGACGACGGCACCATGCAGCAAAGACAATGAACAGCAACACACCTCACTATCCACAACCTCCCTGAGCCGAACCTCTCTTATCAGTGAGCAAAAACATCAAGTAAACTGTACCCCAAATGAATCACACTCACAGGTGCACCAACAGTATGAATAAAAAAAATGAAGACAATGATTTATTTCTTTAAAAACAGTGCATGCTACACCATGACATGAAATATGGATAGGGGACTGTGGGGTTGGAGGATTTTGAGGTCAAAGGCCAAAGAATATGAAAGAACAAGCAGAAGGGAAGCAAACTTTTTCTTTATCTTTTTCCTACATTGAGGCGGGAGTGGACCACTCTGGAGAGGGTGGAAAGGGAGGGTGTATCTTAAAGAGTTTCATATGTGGGCCACGCTCGCTCCTCCATCTCCTCTGCTTTCTTAGTGAAGTTTAAACAGATTGCCCTTCTCGTTCATCCTTTTAAAGGTGGAGCAGGGTAGCAGGCAGGGCCACAGGCCAGCCAGGGGTGGGGTTTAGTTGAAGCCCATGTCGGTCTGATAGGTAGAATGGTGACCATCTGACGTCAACTGGGTGGTCTCTGTCGCTGATGGCTGCACCAAGATGGCTTCACCACCAGCCTCTGTCAGAGAGAGAGCGAGAGCGACACACACACACACACACACACACACACACGGTAAGATATAAAGGGTCAGTAATGATGGCACTCCATAATAAATGACCATGCAATTGAAACAAGTCAATGGTCAGTGATGAAGTGATTTGTGTTCATGCAGAAACATGTTTCTTACACAATAAGCAGTCGATCTCACCTCTCTCATCAGACTGCATCTGGGCCTCCAGGTCCTCAGGAGACACATAGAAGTCAGTCTCCTGGCCCTCTGGGGGCCGCGGTTTACACTTCCCACAGCAGCAGTTACAGCAGCAACACAGGCAACAGCAGAAGTAGCAGCCAGTGGCCAGGCCACAGAACACAAACAAGGCCTGCAGAGGGAAAACAAGGCAGTGTGTGTGTGTGAGTTTGGGAGAGAGAGGTGTGAGAGAGATCAAGAGAGTTTGACAAGAAGATAAAATAATAACAATCAAGACAAACAGTGTTAGAGAGGCTTGGTTGTGTTTTTACAGGGTTTGTGTTATAAAATATGCCATTTTATCTTTGACCCTAAGTCCACTCTACATGTCTACCCCCCACCTCCCCGTGGCCCCTCGCAGTCTCACCTTAGCCCACCAGCTGGACAGGACAAAGTAGGTGTTCACGTTCTCCTCGCCAAACTGCTCAGCCACGTACAGTCCCAGGGAGCCATACTTGTCATAGATGTTCCGCTTGGTGGGGTCATTCAGAATGGCATGGGCATTGTTGATCTCCTTAAACTTGTCAGAAGCTTCAGGGTTATCTGGGTTCTTATCAGGGTGGAATTTCAACGCAAGTTTTCTAAGAACACATAAGAGTGAGAATTAGATAGTACCAATAAACAAAACATAAGACTATATTTATCTGTGGCACGCTCTAGAAAATAATGTGGCTATATTTTTATTGATGAGTACTAGTATAACTACTACAGTAAGTGGCCACGCCTCTCTGACTGACCTGTAGGATTTCTTGATATCGTCGGGAGTGGCTAGCTTGTCAATGCCAAGCACAATGTAGAGTGATTCACCAGAGGTGGAGAGTGAGCGCTGCCTCGCCTGTTCTTGTGCTGCCATGATGCCTCACGTCCTTCAGAATCTGAACACAGAGAAAAGGAAGAAATGCACATGTTTATTAACCAATGAGTCATCATTACACCATTATTCAGCCTATAGCACCATGTGTGTTGACAGAAGCAGTGTATTTTTCATTCTCACAAATATGTGCAGTTCTGCCCCAAATTCACAAAATACTCCCACACTCCAGGAATCTATTGCACACCTTATAACCTTACCGCCACTCCAAAATGGTGCACTCTCAGCAGGGTTCCTACCCTGTAAGAGGAGAGAGTAGAGTAAATCATCTACCTGTGAACCTAGATGCCCTCTCCCTTCCAACAACAGATCAGACAACCTAGTCACATATTCTAACTGTATATCTCTTGGGTTTCTACTTAGAATAGGCCTACAAATGCCAGGATCCTGTAACTATTACTAAGTCAATAACAAATTAACTTATATGAGATATGAGTGTTATCATTCTCAGTCACTCAGTGTGGTCAAATTGAGAACTGAGGTCTCACGCAAATCACTGATATTAATTGGAATGTGTACCCTTCAGGGGTCTCTTTTCAAACTAGCTACTCTGTCAACTCTGTCACTGTCATTTGTTAGGATTGTTGATAGGAAATCCGTAAGAAGTTAACGACAAATCACAAACATCAAGATGCTATAGCTTCAGACTGCACAAGGGCATATAGCCTTCAGAGAACCCCAAGGGCCTATAGCATTCAGAAAACCTCAAGGACCTTCTGCAGTGATGCTAAGGCCAAAATGCTCAATCTTGAGCATTTTCCATCATAGGCCTATCCCTGAACTCAAATAATGTACTCAATTGGATGCTAAATTTCAAGTAATTAGTGTAAATGGTGACTTTATGTGAGGTGGTCCTGGGGAGGAGAATCGTTATTGACATCCAAGGAAGCAGCTGACCATAGATAGGCTAGATTTATTGAGATGACGCACTAGTCGTAAAATACCCATTCTTCAACCTCCAGCTAAACTATTAACGTTTTTAGGCCATGTCACAAATGACTGACCAAACAACTCATTTTCACAAAAATCGACTTTTGCAAAATGTCAAAACCCGTACGCTCTGAGGCTGTTAAAATCCATACACTCTGACGCTGTTCAAATAAATGGAATACATGATCATCATTCATGGAATGTTCGTTTGCTATAAGTACAACTAGAATATTATGATATATATTCTGGATTATTTTTGAATCTGTAGCCTAACTGCGATGCTTGGAGCAGTTAATCTTTGTAGCTGCATCAGCAGCAGCACTGCGCAGCATCCATGTTGGTTTGTAGCTGGCCTTTTCTAAATGCAAGTGAGGACTCGCTCAAGTCAGCAGTAATGTTCAAGGGCAAGGGAGAATAGGTTTAAAAAATAAACAATCCACATCAATGAGAATGCTTACCTCTTGAAGTCGGCTCTGATGCACTATATATGGAAATGGTCCAGAGAAATATAATAATGGTATCTGATTATGGTCGCATCCCAGAGAACCGCGAACACCCACCAAACGCAACCATGGACAGCTGCAGCAGTATATTGTCCCCGCCCCCTCCCCGAGCCCTCCTCCCCAATTCGACATGCGCGCCGCACACTCATTGATTGGGATGCCCCTCAGCCTTATTACTGCATTATAAACTACTGTTTACTAAAAATAAATAAACATAGCTACAACGTGATGAAGTCATTTTCTTTTGAAGGAATTTTGAAGGGATGTAATACAGTAAATTAGGCCTAGGTGATTCTCAACCAGAGACCCCTTCAGACAAAAACCCTAGTAGGCCTAACGTTACCCTTACAAAAAAAGATTGCAGTTTTGAAACTGCGGTATTTTGGACGCAGTAATTGCACTCTAACTGCAGTTATATACATCTGACTGCAATCTTTTTTCGTCAGGGTACCTTAAGAAGTAATACCTGTCCTTGCTTTATTACTTCATTTTACATTTACATTTTAGTCATTTAGCAGACGCTCTTATCCAGAGCGACTTACAGTTAGTGAGTGCATACATCATTTTTTTTTTATACTGGCCCCCCATGGGAATCGAACCCACAACCCTGGCGTTGCAAACGCCATGCTCTACCAACTGAGCTACATCCCTGCCAACCATTCCCTCCCTTACCCTGGACGACGCTGGGCCAATTGTGCGCCGCCCCATGCGTCTCCCGGTCGCGGTTGGCTACGACAGAGCCTGGATTCGAACCAGGATCTCTAGTGGCACAGCTAGCACTGCGACGCAGTGCCTTAGACCACTGCGCCACTCGGGAGAATATTTTCCACATTGCGTTAATTCCACAGAACAGACTTTCGAGTTACACCAAGGTATATACAATGAGGTGAAACGTTTAGAACCTTGCAGCATAATTCTACAAGACATAAAATATCTGTTCCACAAAATGCATTTCTATCTGAAAGTTTTTGCAACGTTGAACCCTTCTGAACAGACCCCATCACTGCTACTGTTCCTTGGCAACCATGACATCATTCCACTGGCCAATCGTAGTTATGTTTCCCCAAATCACATTCGGTTGTCGCGATTCTCGCGAGAGAGCTTGAAGCAACTACACATCCCGTAGCCGAAGTTGAAAGATTGTTACAGGTATATTTAATTGGACAATAAAGCTGACTACTATATTTGATAGCGATAATGTCTATTATTATGTATTGTACTCTTCGCTCATGTTACAATTACACGTTGGTGGGTGATGCACCAACAAGCAGCTAGCTAGCTAACGTTAGCTAGCAACAACACAACAAGTAACGATAGTTAACGAGCTAATTTCAGACTAAATGTTTTGGTGTGTGAGGCCAGAATATTCGTTCTGTTCCCCGCATAGATGATAGATATCATATCACTGTTAATAGCCAGCTAACCTTTCGAAATGAAAGGATTTAGTTAGCTAGCTAGCGAACGTTGTTTTGGTCTTCAAACACCAATCGACCACAATCACTCTCGACATGACACCGGCATGTCGGTGCAATTACTAACGTTACTTGCTAGCTAACACATTTTTTATTCAAACTTCGCAGGATCCCAATGTCAATGATGAGTTACGCGGAAAAGACCGAAGATATTACTAAAGATGAATGGATGGACAAACTGAACAATGTACACATACAGAGGGCTGACATGAACCGGCTCATTATGAATTACCTGGTGACAGGTATTCCACGATTCACACTTTTGTGTCAGTTGCTGCTAAAACAACCTCCAATCTGAGCCGCTCTCTATCCCAGTTAACCGTTCTGCTCCGAACATCTTTGAATCTTCAGCTTGTCTACTGACAGAAGCAGAATCCCAAATTCTTCCTTGATCCATCCTTTATCCGGTTGATTGTTCTTGTGATTTTTATGGTCTCACTCTTGTCTGTGTTTGTGCAGAGGGGTTTAAAGAGGCAGCCGAGAAGTTTCGGATGGAGTCTGGTATTGAGCCCAGTGTGGACCTGGACTCTCTGGATGAGAGGATAAAGATTAGAGAGCTGATCCTGAAGGGAGAGATACAGGAGGCCATCGCACTCATCAACAGTTTACACCCAGAGCTGCTTGATACCAAGCGCTACCTGTACTTTCACCTGCAGGTAAGGATGCCCTCAGTGGACTGATTTGGGACCAGAGCTTGTCCAAGACAACAGCATCTCTTGTGGATGTCCATTGCCCACACCAAAACACTTGATAAAATTTCTATGTCATCCCTGAGCCAGCAGCACACCACCCTGCATCCCACTGCTGGCTAGCTTCTGAAGCTAAGCAGGGTTGGGCCTGGATGGGAGACCAGATGCTGCTGGAAGTGGTGTTGGAGGGCCAGTAGGAGGCACTCTTTTCTCTGGTCAAAAAAAATACAGTGATTGCCCTGTGTAGGGTGCCATCTTGGAACGTTAAACGGGTGTCCTGACTCTCTGTGGTCACTAAAGATCCCATGGCACTTATCGTAAGAGTAGGGGTGTTAACCCCAGTGTCCTGGCTAAATGCCCAATCTGGCCCACATACCACCTAATCATCCCCAGCTTCCAATTGGCTCATTCATCCCCCCTCCTCTCCCCTGTAACTATTCCCCAGGTCATTGCTGTAAATGAGAATGTGTTCTCAGTCAACATAAAAAGTCCCTCTCCATTTCTTCCCTCCTTCTCCTCTTTGTAGCAACAGCACTTGATTGAGTTAATTAGGCTGCAGGAGACAGAGTCTGCATTGGAGTTTGCCCAGACACAGCTCGCAGAGCAGGGGGAGGAGAGCCGTGAGTGCCTGACAGAGATGGAGAGGACGCTGGCTCTTCTTGCCTTCGACAACCCAGAGGAGTCGCCCTTTGGAGACCTACTTAACATGATGCAGCGACAGAAGGTGTGTCTGTGTGGGCTATTTATATTTTACCATTATTTAACTAGTCAAGTCAGTTAAGAACAAATTCTTATTTACAATGACGGCCTACACCAGCCAAACCCGGACGACGCTGGGCCAATTGTGCTATCATCTGTATCATTGTTTATTAGGCTATTAGAGCCTCTTTACACTACACTAGTTTGACGACACATACTAGATCCAAGACACATACAGTGCCCTCTGTAATTATTAGGACAGTGAAGCATTTTTTCTTATTTTGGCTCTATACTCCAAAAATCTAACAATGACTATGAGATTAAAGTGCAAACTGTCCGCTTTAATTTGAGCGGGGACTTTAATTCAGGCAAACTTAAATCCTTTTTACCTAATTTCTACCAGCATGTCACATGTGCAACCAGAGGAAAAAAACTCTAGACCACCTTTACTCCACACACAGAGATGCATACAAAGCTCTCACTCTCCCTCCATTTCGCAAATCTGACCATAATTCTATCTTCCTGATTCCTGCTTACAAGCAAAAACTAAAGCAGGAAGTACCAGTGACTCGCTCAATACGGAACAGGTCAGATGATGCGGATGCTACGCTACAGGACTGTTTTGCTAGCACAGACTGGAATATGTTCTGGGATTCATCCAATGGCATTGAGGAGTATACCACCTCAGTCACCGGCTTCCTCAATAAGTGCATTGACGACGTTGTCCCCACAGTGAGCGTATGTACATATCCCAACCAGAAGCCATGGATTACAGGCAACATCCACAATGAGCTCAAGGCTAGAGCTGCCACTTTCAAGGAGCGGGACACTAATCTGGACACTTATAAGAAATCCCGCTATGCCCTCAGACAAACCATCAAACAGGCAAAGCGTCAATACAGGACTAAGATTGAATCCTACTACACTGGCTCTGACGCTCTTCGGATGTTGCAGGGCTTGCAAACTTACGGACTACAAAGGGAAACCCAGCCGCGAGCTGCCCAGTGACGCAAGCCTTCCAGATGAGCTAAATGCCTTTTATGCCCGCTTTGAAGCAAGCAACACTTAAGCATGCATGAGGGCACCAGCTGTTCTGGACGACTGTTTGATCACGCTCTCTGTAGCCGATGTGAGCAAGACCTTTAAACAGGTCAACATTCACAAGGCCGCGGGGCCAGACGGATTACCAGGACGTGTACTCGGAGCATGCGCAGACCTACTGGCAAGTGTCTTTACTAACATTTTCAACCTCTCCCTGACCGAGTCTGTAATACCTACATGTTTCAAGCAGACCACCATAGTCCCTGTGCCCAAGAAAGCGAAGGTAAACTGCCTAAATGACTACCGCCCCGTAGAACTCACGTCGGTAGCCATTACCACCTTTGAAAGGCTGGTAATGGCTCACATCAACACCATCATCCCGGAAACCCTAGACCCACTCCAATTTGCACACCGCCCCAACAGATCCACAGATGACGCAATCTCAATCGCACTCCACACTGCCCTTTCCCACTTGGACCAAAGGAACACCTATTTGAGAATGCTGTTCATTGACTACATCTCAGCGTTCAACACCATAGTGCCCACAAAGCTCATCACTAAGCTAAGGACCCTGGGACTAAACACCTCCTCTGCAACTGGATCTTGGACTTCCTGACGGGCCTTCCCCAGGTGGTAAGGGTAGGCAACAACACATATGCCACGCTGATCCTCAACACTGGGGCCCCTCAGGGGTGCGTGCTTAGTCCCCTCCTGTACTCCCTGTTCACCCACGATCGCGTGGCCAAGCACGACTCCAACACTATCATTAAGTTTGCTGACGACACAACAGTGGTAGGCCTGGTCACCGACAATGATGAGACAGCCTATAGGGAGGAGGTCAGAGACCTGGCAGTGTGGAGATCCTCAAAAAGTTATACAGCTGCACCATCGAGAGAATCCTGACCGGTTGCATCACCGCCTGGTATGGCAACTGCTCGGCATCTGACCGTAAGGCGCTACAGAGGGTAGTGCGTACGGCCCAGTACATCACTGGGGCCAAGCTTCCTGCCATCCAGGACCTATATGTTGGCGGGGTCAGAGGAAGGCCCAAAAAATTGCCAAAGACTCCAGTCACCCAAGTCATAGACTGTTCTCTCTGCTACAGCACGGCAAGCGGTACCGGAGTGCCAAGTCTAGGTCCAAAAGGCTCCTTAACAGCTTCTACCCCAAGCCATAAGACAGCTGAACAATTTTACCCCTACCTACATGTACAAATTACCTAGACTAAACTGCACCCCCGCACATTGACTCGGTACCGGTACCCTCTGTATATAGCCTCGTTATTTTGTGTTACTTTTTATTTTATTAAATTTTTTACTTTATTATATTTATTACAATATTTTCTTAACTCTATTTCTTCAACTGCATTGTTAGTTAAGGGCTTGTAAGTAAGCATTTCATGGTAAGGTCTACACCTGTTGTATTCAACGCATGTGACAAATACAATTTGATTTGATTTTCATCCATATCGGGTGAACCGTTTAGAAATTACAGCACTTGTTGTACATAGTCCCCCCATTTTAGGGGAGCAAAAGAATTGGGACAAATTTACTTATGTGTATTAAAGTAGTACAAAGTTAAGTATTTGGTCCCATATTCATAGCACGCAATGACTACATCAAGCTTGTGACTCTACACATTTGGTGGATCCATTTGCTGTTTGTTTTGTGCCCAATAGAAATGAATGGTAAATAATGTATTGTGCATTTTGGAGTCACTTTTATTGTAAATAAGAATAGAATATGTTTCTAAACACTTCTACATTAATGTGGATGCGACCATGGTTACGGATAGTGTTGAATGAATCTTAAATAATGATGTGAGAAAGTTACAGACAAACATATCATACCCTCAAGATATGCTAACCTCTCACCATTACAATAACAGGGGAGGTTAGCATTTTTTGGGGGGTATGATATTTGTGCATCTGTAACTCTCACTCATCATTATTCACGATTCATTCAGGATTATCAGTAACCATGGTAGCATCCACATGAATGTAGAAGTGTTTAGAAACACATTATATTCTTATTTACAATAAAAGTGACTCCAAAATGCACAATATATTATTTACCATTCATTTCTATTGGGCACAAGATAATAGGAAACACAACCAAAACAAACAGCAAATGGATCCACAAAACTTGTAGAGTCACAAGCTTGATGTAGTCATTGCGTGCTATGAATATGGGACCAAATACTTAACTTTTACTATTTTAATACACATACAGTGAGGGATAAATGTATTTGATGCCCTGCTGATTTTGTAAGTTTGCCCACTGACAAAGACATGATCAGTCTATAATTTTAATGGTAGGTTTATTTGAACAGTGAGAGACAGAATAACAACAAAAAAATCCAGAAAAACGCATGTCAAAAATGTTAAAAATGTATTTGCATTTTAATGAGGGAAATAAGTATTTGACCCCTCTGCAAAACATGACTTAGTACTTGGTGGCAAAACCCTTGTTGGCAATCAGAGGTCAGACGTTTCTTGTAGTTGGCCACCAGGTTTGCACACATCTCAGGAGGGATTTTGTCCCACTCCCTCCACTCCTCTTTGCAGATCTTCTCCAAGTCATTAAGGTTTCGAGGCTGACTTTTGGCAACTCGAACCTTCAGCTCTCTCCACAGATTTTCTATGGGATTAAGGTCTGGAGACTGGCTAGGCCACTCCAGGACCTTAATGTGCTTCTTCTTGAGCCACTCCTTTGTTTCCTTGGTCGTGTGTTTTGGGTCATTGTCATGCTGGAATACCCATCCACGACCCATTTTCAATGCCCTGGCTGAGGGAAGGAGGTTCTCACCCAAGATTTGACGGTACATGGCCCCGTCCATCGTCCCTTTGATGCGGTGAAGTTGTCCTGTCCCCTTAGCAGAAAAACACCCCCAAAGCATAATGTTTCCACCTCCATGTTTGACGGTGGGGATGGTGTTCTTGGGGTCATAGGCAGCATTCCTCCTCCTCCAAACACGGCGAGTTGAGTTGATGCCAATGACCTTGATTTTGGTCTCATCTGACCACAACACTTTCACCCAGTTCTCCTCTGATTCATTCAGATGTTCATTGGCAAACTTCAGACGGGCCTGTATATGTGCTTTCTTGAGCAGGGGGACCTTGCGGGCACTGCAGGATTTCAGTCCTTCACGGCGTAGTGTGTTACCAATTGTTTTCTTGGTGACTATGGTCCCAGCTGCCTTGAGATCATTGACAAGATCCTCCTGTGTAGTTCTGGGCTGATTCCTCACCGTTCTCATGATCATTGCAACTCCATGAGGTGAGATCTTGCATAGAGCCCCAGGACGAGGGAGATTGACAGTTCTTTTGTGTTTCTTCCATTTGCGAATAATCGCAACCAACTGTTGTCACCTTCTCACCAAGCTGCTTGGCGATGGTCTTGTAGCCCATTCCAGACTTGTGTAGGTCTACAATCTTGTCCTTGACATCCTTGGAGAGCTCTTTGGTCTTGGCCATGGTGGAGAGTTTGGAATCTGATTGATTGATTGCTTCTGTGGACAGGTGTCTTTTATACAGGTAACAAGCTGAGATTAGGAGCACTCCCTTTAAGAGTGTGCTCCTAATCTCAGCTCGTTACCTGTATAAAAGACACCTGGGAGCCAGAAATCTTTCTGATTGAGAGGGGGTCAAATACTTATTTCCCTCATTAAAATGCAAATCAATTTATAACAGTTTTGACATGCATTTTTCAGGATTTTTTTGTTGTTATTCTGTCTCTCACTGTTCAAATAAACCTAGCATTAAAATTATAGACTGATCATTTCTTTGTCAGTGGGCAAACGTACAAAATCAGCAGGGGATCAAATAATTTTTTCCCTCACTGTAAGTGAATTTGTCCCAATACTTTTGCTCCCCTAAAATGGGTGCTGTAATTTCTAAACAGTTCACCCAATATGGATGAAAATATGCTCAAATTAAAGCTGACAGTCTGCACTTCATAGTCATTGTTTGATTTTAAATCCAACCTTTTTAAGTATTGAGCCAAAATAAGAAAAAATGCTTCACTGTCCCAATAATTATGGAGGGCACTGTATTTTTGTATGGTAAAGAGATGGATCTAGCTTCAAATCTATCTTTCCCAAGCCACCTCCATAGGTAGTGTGGGACACTTGTACAGCAAGTTCCCCCCTCTGGCTGGTATACTGTGAAGACAATGGCTCTCTCCGATGCCACATGCCCCTGCAAGAATGACCTTAATTATCTTAATACCAGTAGACAGCGTTTTTGTTGTTAGCCAAATTGAAAATGACATGCTTTTAAAATGTCCACACATCTGTGAAACATTGCATTAATCAAGGCTTGCGAAAGTATTCACCCCCCTTGGCATTTTTCCTATTTTGTTGCCTTACAACCTGGAATTAAAATTGATTTTTGGGGGGTTTGGATCATTTGAGTTACACAACATGCCTACCACTTTGAAGATGCAAAATATTTTTTATTGTGAAACAAACAAGAAATAAGACAAAAAAACAGAACTTGAGCGTGCATAACTATTCACCCCCCCCCCCCCCCCCCCCCCCCCAAGTCAATACTTTGTAGAGCCACCTTTTGCAGCAGTTACAGCTGCAAGTCTCTTGGGGTATGGTATGTCTCTATAAACTTGGCACATCTAGCCACTGGGATTTTTGCCCATTCTTCAAAGCAAAACTGCTCCAGCTCCTTGAAGTTGGATGGGTTCCGCTGGTGTACAGCACTTTTTAAGTAATACCACAGATTCTCAATTGGATTGAGGTCTGGGCTTTGACTAGGTCATTCCAAGACATTTAAATGTTTCCCCTTAAACCACTCGAGTGTTGCTTTAGCAGTATGCTTAGGGTCATTGTCCTGTTGGAAGGTGAACCTCTGTCCCAGTCTCAAATCTCTGGAAGACTGAAACAGGTTTCCCTCAAGAATTTCCCTGTATTTAGCGCCATCCATCATTCCTTCAATTCTGACCAGTTTCCCCAGTCCCTGCCGATGAAAAACATCCCCACAGCATGATGCTGCCACCACCATGCTTCACTGTGGGGATGGTGTTCTCGGGGTGGTGAGAGGTGTTGGGTTTGCGCCAGACATAGCGTTTTCCTTGATGGCCAAAAAGCTCAATTTAGGCTCATCTGACCAGAGTACCTTCTTCCATATGTTTGGGGAGACTCCCACATGCCTTTTGGCAAACACCAAACGTGTTTGCTTCTTTTTTTCTTTAAGCAATGGCTTTTTTCTGGCCACTCTTCCATAAAGCCCAGCCCTGTGGAGTGTACGGCTTAAAGTGGTCCTATGGACAGATACTCTCCAATCTCCGCTGTGGAGCTTTGCAGCTCCTTCAGGGTTATCTTTGGTCTCTTTGTTGCCTCTGATTAATGCCCTCCTTGCCTGGTCCGTGAGTTTTGGTGGGCGGCCCTCTCTTGGCAGGTTTGTTGTGGTGCCATATTATTTCCATTTCTTAATAATGGATTTAATGGTGCTCCGTGGGATGTTCAAAGTTTCGGATATTTTTTTTATAACCCAACCCTGATCTGTACTTCTCCACAACTTTGTCCCTGACCTGGTTGGAGAGCTCCTTGGTCTTCATGATGCCGCTTGCTTGATGGTGCCTCTTGCTTAGTGGTGTTGCAGACTCTGGGGCCTTTCAGAACAGGTGTGTGTATATATACTGAGATCATGTGACAGATCATGTGACACTTAGATTGCACACAGGTGGAATTTATTTAACTAATTGTGACTTCTGAAGGTAATTGGTTGCACCAGATCTTATTTTGGGGCTTCATAGCAAAGGGGGTATATACATATGCATGCACCACTTTTCCGTTATTTATTTATTTGAATTTTTTGAAACAAGTAATTTGTTATTTCAGTTCACCAATTTGGACTATTTTGTGTATGTCCATTACATGAAATCCAAATAAAAATCCATTTAAATTACAGGTTGTAATGCAACAAAATAGGAAAAACGCCAAGGGGGATGAATACTTTTGCAAGGCACTGTATGTGCAATATGGTTTAGATGAGAAGCTCCTGTATAGTTTGAATTGCTATCCTTATTTTGTTTGTCGATATATTATGGTATTTACAGTATGCTAATACAGTGGGGGGAAAAAGTATTTAGTCAGCCACCAATTGTGCAAGTTCTCCCACTTAAAAAGATGAGAGAGGCCTGTAATTTTCATCATAGGTACACGTCAACTATGACAGACAAATTGAGGGAAAAAAATCCAGAAAATCACATTGTAGGATTTTTAATGAATTTATTTGCAAATTATGGTGGAAAATAAGTATTTGGTCAATAACAAAAGTTTCTCAATACTTTGTTATATACCCTTTGTTGGCAATGACACGGGTCAAACGTTTTCTGTAAGTCTTCACAAGGTTTTCACACACTGTTGCTGGTATTTTGGCCCATTCCTCCATGCAGATCTCCTCTAGAGCAGTGATGTTTTGGGGCTGTCGCTGGGCAACACGGACTTTCAACTCCCTCCAAAGATTTTCTATGGGGTTGAGATCTGGAGACTGGCTAGGCCACTCCAGGACCTTGAAATGCTTCTTACGAAGCCACTCCTTCGTTGCCCGGGCGGTGTGTTTGGGATCATTGTCATGCTGAAAGACCCAGCCACGTTTCATCTTCAATGCCCTTGCTGATGGAAGGAGGTTTTCACTCAAAATCTCACGATACATGGCCCCATTCATTCTTTACTTTACACGGATCAGTCGTCCTGGTCCCTTTGCAGAAAAACAGCCCCAAAGCATGATGTTTCCACCCCCATGCTTCACAGTAGTTATGGTGTTCTTTGGATGCAACTCAGCATTCTTTGTCCTCCAAACACGACGAGTTGAGTTTTTACCAAAAAGTTATATTTTGGTTTCATCTGACCATATGACATTCTCCCAATCCTCTTCTGGATCATCCAAATGCACTCTAGCAAACTTCAGACGGGCCTGGACATGTACTGGTGTCACGATCATTGAAAGGAGTGGACCAATGCGCAGCGTGGAATGCGAACATACTTTTATTAAACATTCACCACACGAACAAAAACAACAAAACGATACGTGAAGTCCTTGGGTACATACACAAACTATACACGGAACAAGATCCCACAAACACAAATGCCCAAACGGCTGCCTAAGTATGGTTCTCAATCAGAGACAACAAGCAACAGCTGATTCTCGTTGCCTCTGATTGAGAACCACCCCGGCCAACATAGAAACACATGAACTAGATCGTGAACATAAACACAAAACATAGATTCTACACACCCTGGCTCAACATAACAGAGTCCCCAGAGCCAGGGCGTGACAACTGGCTTAAGCAGGGGGACACGTCTGGCACTGCAGGATTTGAGTCCCTGGCGGCGTAGTGTGTTACTGTTGGTAGGCTTTGTTACTTTGGTCCCAGCTCTCTGCAGGTCATTCACTAGGTCCCCCCGTGTGGTTCTGGGATTTTTGCTCACCGTTCTTGTGATCATTTTGACCCCACGGGGTGAGATCTTGCGTGGAGCCCCAGATCGAGGGAGATTATCAGTGGTCTTGTATGTCTTCCATTTCCTAATAATTGCTCCCACAGTTGATTTCTTCAAACCAAGCTGCTTACCTATTGCAGATTCAGTCTTCCCAGCCTGGTGCAGGTCTACAATTTTGTTTCTGGTGTCCTTTGACAGCTCTTTGGTCTTGGCCATAGTGGAGTTTGGAGTGTGACTGTTTGAGGTTGTGGACAGGTGTCTTTTATACTGATAACAAGTTCAAACAGGTGCCATTAATACAGGTAACGAGTGGAGGACAGAGGAGCCTCTTAAAGAAGGAGTTACAGGTCTGTAAGAGCCAGAAATCTTGCTTGTTTGTAGGTGACCAAATACTTATTTTCCACCATAATTTGCAAATAAATTCATAAAAAATCCTACAATGTGATTTTCTTGATTTTTTTTCCTCAATTTGTCTGTCATAGTTGACGTGTACCTATGATGAAAATTACAGGCCTCTCATCTTTTTAAGTGGGAGAACTTGCACAATTGGTGGCTGACTAAATACTTTTTTCCCCACTGTAGCTGCAAACACACAGAAAGCAGCAATGTGGCTTTGGCCACACCACATCCAAGGTAATGTAAGGATAGCGTAAACAGAAAACTTGCAAATCTGATGTTGAAGAGAGGCAGGTCTTACTACACATATTTTACTAATGTAAAGAAAGACAGACTTAATGAGCATGAGTAAAATGGTCTCTTTTTGTGGGTGTTCTATGTGTGACTGTATTCCTGTAATTGACACACCTCAATGCTCTTCAGGTGTGGAGTGAGGTGAACCAGGCTGTGCTGGACCATGAGAACAGGGAGTCAACACCCAAGCTGGCCAAGCTACTCAAGCTGCTGTTGTGGGCTCAGAACGAGCTGGACCAGAAGAAAGTCAAATACCCCAAAATGACAGACCTCAGCAAAGGCACTATTGAGGATCCCAAGTGAAATGAACGAGCAGTGACATGGACTACCACACTTCCTTTCTCCTATTTATAATCAGTCGACGACTGGATGATAACGTAATAATAACATATTATATATAAATATAAATACATTTTTCATGTTGCATATATGAGAGGACTTAATTGATTGTGCAAACCAGTATATGGCTTAAAAAGTGACAACTGCTATGATGATTTAAACATTCAACAGAGTACCCACATTTATAGACATTTTGAGAGACAAATTTAAATTACTGGTTTATATTTGATTATCTGAAAAGGAAGTATTCACTTTTATTTGAATGTCATTTTTTAAAATTAGTTTTTAAGCCACTGGGTTGCCACACTGAGTTTGGGAGTTATGATTTTATACATACAAGGTAGAGTTTGTTAAGCCTAAATTAGGCTCATATGTAAAGGACAGAGGGGAATAGGCTAAATGCCACTTTTTCTAGATAAAGGGTTTGGATCAAGTGGAAACTGTGTTACCCAGCCTTTATCTACTGTACTTTGATTGGTTATAACCTATATTCTGGTCATCTGGTCTTAACCTGTCTACTGCTGGATGAAAGTATTGCTTACATGGAAATACTGGTTTCTTTTAAATGGTTGGCTGAGTTTACATTCCATTCTGTCTTTGAAAGACACATGAAGCTCTGCCTTGTATTGTTTGTCTGTTTTAGTTTAGTTTTGTTGAGGAATGAAAACTTGTAGATGGTGGAAACCTTTCACAGTAGAAGGGCTGTACTTACTTATCATACGGGAGTAGAGAGAAGTTGGGTACACATGACCAGTTTGCTATTAAGAGTTAGTTACCAGTTAGAATTTTTACATTTACTGCCCAGATGCATGTACAGTGCCTTGCAAAAGTATTCATCTCCCTTGGTGTTTTTCCTATTTTGTTGCATTACAACCTGTAATTTAAATGGATGTACACAAAATAGTCCAAATTGGTGAAGTGAAATGAAAAAAATAACTTGTTTCAAAACATTCTAAAACATAAATAATGGAAAATATGTATTCACCCCTTTGCTATGAAGCCCCTAAATAAGATCTGGTGCAACCAATTACCTTCAGAAGTCACATAATTAGTTAAATAAAGTCCACCTGTGTGAAATCTAAGTGTCACATGATCTCAGTATATATACACCTGTTCTGAAAGGCCCCAGAGTCTGCAACACCACTAAGCAAGGTGCACCATGAAGACCAAGGAGCTATCCAAACAGGTCAGGGACAAAGTTGAGAAGTACAGATCAGGGTTGGATTATAAAAAAATATCAGAAACTTTGAACATCCCACAGAGCACCATTAAGTCCATTATTAAAAAATGGAAAGAATATGGCACCACAACAAACCTGCCAAGAGAGGGCCGCCCACCAAAACTCACGGACCAGGCAAGGAGGGCATTAATCAGAGGCAACAAAGAGACCAAAGATAACCCTGAAGGAGCTGCAAAGCTCCACAGCGGAGATTGGAGAGTATCTGTCCATAGGACCACTTTAAGCCGTACACTCCACAGAGCTGGGCTTTACGGAAGAGTGGCCAGAAAAAAGCCATTGCTTAAATAAAAAAATAAGCAAACGTTTGGTGTTCGCCCAAAGGCATGTGGGAGACTCCCCAAACATATGGAAGAAGGTACTCTGGTCAGATGAGACTAAAATTGAGCTTTTTGGCCATCAAGGAAAACGCCATGTCTGGCGCAAACCCAACACCTCTCATCACCCAGAGAACACCATCCCAGTGAAGCATGGTGGTGGCAGCATCATGCTGTGGGGATGTTTTTCATCTGCAGGGACTGGGAAACTGGTCAGAATTGAAGGAATGATGGATGGCGCTAAATACAGGGAAATTCTTGAGGGAAACCTGTTTCAGTCTTCCAGAGATTTGAGACTGGGACGGAGGTTCACCTTCCAGCAGGACAATGACCCTAAGCATACTGCTAAAGCAACACTCAAGTGGTTTAAGGGGAATCATTTAAATGCCTTGGAATGGCCTAGTCAAAGCCCAGACCTCAATCCAATTGAGAATCTTTGGTATTACTTAAAGATTGCTGTACACCAGCGGAACCCATCCAACTTGAAGGAGATGGAGCAGTTTTGCCTTGAAGAATGGGCAAAAATCCCAGTGGCTAGATGTGCCAAGCTTATAGAGACATACCCCAAGAGACTTGCAGCTGTAATTGCTGCAAAAGGTGGCTCTACAAAGTATAGACTTTGGGGGGGGGGGGGGGGGGTGAATAGTTATGCACGCTCAAGTGTTCTGTTTTTTTTGTCTTATTTCTTGTTTGTTTCACAATAAAAAATATTTTGCATCTTCAAAGTGGTAGGCATGTTGTGTAAATGAAATGATACAAACCCCCAAAAAATCCATTTTAATTCCAGGTTGTAAGGCAACAAAATAGGAAAAATGCCACTTGCGAAATGTTGTTGAATTGGTTAAGGTCATTACAGAAACACTCATGCCTTGTTTATGTTATGTGGGAGTTGAAATATTTGTTTCTTTTTTACCTGCTCCTAAATGTCATTTTTTCCTTTTTAATACTACTTTTTATTGTACGGTCAGACAATGTGATCATAGAGACTACAGATAACTCCCCTCTGATTATTGGACGTTTTTGAGGTGAAATTTGCAGATATGGAAATTATTTTGAGAGAAAGTTTTATTATATACGGCCTAATACAGCAGGTAATGTATGACAATCTATTAAGAGCATTGTTTCCTGCATTGTGTAGCCTTGCTGCTCAGGTTCATCATTTATTTATTGTGAATGTGCAATTTTGGCATAGAAGGGATGAATAGTAAGTAGATCACTTACACACTACGGCAGATATGTAGGGTGATATCAGGTAAAATGGGCCATCAGGTAAAATGGGCCATTTAAGGTTTGGGGGTCCCAGCCCCTCTGGAATTTAGAGCCAATGACTGCAAAGGATTTCAAACTGTTGTCATAACTGTACTTGACAAGTAACAGGTGATTTGATTGGTTCATGGTTGCTATGGTGGGCAGTGCAATAATTCAAATCAAGACTGCACCAGAAAGCTGCATGGTGAGTAGCCTGGCATACCAAATCTAACTAAACTATTATAAGGATGATAAATCTGTAAAAAAACAACAACATGCCCATAAAAAACTATGCATAATATCTGTCTTGATGGCATCAATCAGAAATAATGTTGTTAGTTTGGTATATGAACATATTTTTTGAAAAAGTGATGCTTTTTTGGGGGGCCCAATTTACCTTAACCCCTTGAGGTAAAATGGGCCACATGGTTTCAGCTAAAATGGGCCATCATTTGTGTCACTCACAAACACACATACACATGTGTTTGAGTGTGTGTGAGTGAGTTTGTGTGTAAGGGTGTGTGTTTGTGTTTGTATGTGTATGTACGTGCATACACACACACACACACACACACACACACACACTCACACCATGACCCCCCCCCAACAGTAATAATGGTAGTATTTTATTTACAGTGAGTATGGCAAACGAGAAGGAAGCGAGAGGAGAGGAGAGAGGGAGAAGGAAAGAGAGAGGAAGTGAGAGGAGAAGGAAGGATGAGAGAGGAGACAAGCAGAGGAGACAGGAAGTGAGAGAACAGGTGAGGAGAAAGGAATGCAGAGGAAATGAGAGGAGACAGAACGAGAGAAAAGAGAGGAGGAGCAAGGACCAGAGAGGAAAGGATACAAAGATAAAACAGGGAGGGAAAGGAAGGCCAAACAACTACAATCAACTACAAAAAGCAGGGCAAGAGAAGCAAATCACCTTGCAAAGTCTGCAACACCCACTATGGTGACCCAAATGACCCTAAGGCTACTGAGGAATGGTTAAAATGTGTTCCATGTTCTGCCTGGTTTCATGAGAGCTGTGGTGAAGACAATGGTATCTGTGCTGACGATGGTTTCATTTGCAAAGACTGTGTTTGAAAAGTTTTCACACAAACATATCAGTTAATAATTTGGAATGTGAATTTTTGTATTTTTGTGAATGCACATTTTGTTCTAAATGTGTTGTTCACACACACACACACACACACACACACACACACACACACACACACACACACACCACTGACAGTTCACTGATCTATGCTGTTCCAAAATGGATTTTTTTAATTGCACATTTGAATATGTGGGTTTGCACCCAAAATGTTTTTTGAATGGCACATATGAATTTTTGTTTAATGCAGTTTAAATGTTATGTGGCTGTATAAGCAACTGTGTTTTAAAATTAAAATTGATGATAAATGACTATTTCCCTTTGGGGTTTGACTGGCCCATTTTACCTGAAGCTGTGGCCCATTTTACCTGAAACTGCTCATGCAACAAATGTTGGCAGAGCTGATGTTTCAAGAACTGTAGGGCCTAAATAATTATATTTTATTAAATAATTTCAACACAAAATTATCAAAAACAGTCATTATTAATCATAAAAACACATGGAAAAGGCATATATGGTATTGTATTATTGTCCCAAACGATTTACCAAAAAGTGGCCCAATTTAGCTGATGTCACCCTAGTCGTGGAATCTGAGGGCGCGTTCTTTATTGTAAACGCCGCGATCACACATTGTCGGTTGGCTGCCGCCTTTTACAAACTAGACGACCTGGAACGCGCTCTCAGTGTCGCACTGATCGCAAGCAACCAGTCATTCAGCCAGCCAAACTCAGTCAGAGAGAGATATGTATGTTTCAAGGTGCTCACAAGTTTTACCTGTCCAGCAGGCTGTGTCCATATTTTCATTCGTCGAAGCGCACGTTTCCAGACGAGATCTACGTGTAGAGTGGTGGACGGTGAATTTGAAAATACCCTGCACATTGAATGGCATTGTTGCAAATATTTGGTGAAACTAACCATAACTTTGAAGTTCCCGGGAAAGTTCTTCCTAACAAAGTATTTGCACACGATGGTTCCGAGGGAGAGGAACCAGAGCAGCAGACTGCGATATGGCCCAGGTGAGGTGATGGATTCTGCTTTCGGTTCTTTGCCTATCGGATAAGCTAATAATGTTTTATTTGAAAACATGTATAACTTCTTAACCATAGCGGTTACATGGTGAAAATAGAGAGACATGTCAAGCAAGGTTTTTTTTATGTGGGAACGCCTTCAAGAATGTTGGAAAAGCATTCCAGGGGAAGCTGGTTGAGAGAATGCCAACAGTGTGCAAAGCTGTCATTTAATATATATATATATATATATATATATAATTTTTTTAAAACCTTTATTTAACTAGGCAAGTCAGTTAAGAACAAATTGTTATTTACAATGAGGGCCTACACCGGCCAAACCCAGACGACGCTGTGGCCCTATGGGACTCCCAATCATGGCAGGTTGTGATACAGCCTGGAATCGAACCAGGGGGTCTGTAGTGACGCCTCGAGCACTGAGATGCAGTGCCTTAGACCGCTGCGCCACTTAAGGCAAAGGGTGGCTATTTGAAGAATCTCAAATATAAAATATATTTTGATTTGTTTAACACTTTTTTGGTTACTACATGATTCCATATGTGTTATTTCATATTTTGATGTCTTTACTATTATTGTACAATGTAAAAAATAGTAAAAATAAAGAAAAACCCTTGAATGAGTAGGTGTGTCCAAAATTTTGCCTGGTAGTGTATATATACATAAATCATATCAAATTCCTTATATTAAGCAAACCAGATGGCACAATTTTCTTGTTATTTTAATTTAAGGATAGCTAGGGGCAGACTCCAACACTCAGGCATAATTTACAACCGAAGCATGTGTGTTTAGATGACACCAGATCAGAGGCAGTAGGGATGACCAGGGATGTTCTCTTGATAAGTGTGTGAATTGGACCATTTTCCTGTCCTGCTAAGCATTCAAAATGTAACGAGTACTTTTGGGTGTCAGGGAAAATGTATGGAGTAAAAAGTATGTTATTTTCTTTAGGAATGCAGTAAAGTAAAAGTTGTCAAAATATAAGTAGTTAAGTACAGATACCCCAAAAAATGACTTAAGTAGTAGTTTAAAGTATTTTTACTTAAGTACTATACACCACGGTAGGCTGATATCTTCGGTTCAATACGTGTTTCGGTAGCCTGGTCCCAGATCTGTTTGTGCGGTCATGTCAACTCCTTGTAATACCAGTGACAATGTGTGACAAGGAGTTGACAGGATAGCACAAACCTATCTGGGACCAGGCTAGAGTTTCTGTGCGTTCACAACATTCACAATGGTTGTAGATGCTCCAGTGTGAAAGTAGATTTAGATCTTGGTCACACTTTCAATTCATTTGCACATATTTGTAGTGTTTTACTGCTCTAAGTAACTTAACAGAAGCATCTAATATTAAACTAGATTCCTGTTAGCTTGCTCTGTCTACTGAAACTTTTATCCAACACTGGTGGCTTCATTAAGGCACTTCACTTGATGTAGTCAGAAATAGCTCAGTTGGTAGAGCATGGCGCTTGCAACGCCAGGGTTGTGGGTTCGATTCCCACGGGGGGCCAGTATGAAAACTGTATGCAATCGCTCTGGATAAGAGCGTCTGCTAAATGACTAGAAAATGTAAAAATTACAAAATAATCTCGGATTCGATAATTTTTTTAAACACCCTGTAACTACTTCCTACGGCTATACTCTGTATCATCTCACGATCTGCATTATTCTCTCTTCAGTAGCAGGCGTAAAATAAACTCAGACCGGACAAGTAGATTACCAATGGATTATGGTAATTGTAGTTAATTACCAAATTTAAATGCGCTAAACTATGTAGAATATTGGCCTGTTGGAAACTACAACTCCCTACTACATCGCAAAGGTCAGGCTGGAGCTTTATCTCTAGAGAAACTATGCATGTGCGCATTGAGGTCACAGAAAAAAACTGAACGAAATGGAATTCAAATCATTGAACCGATGTCGGTCAATAAATTGTTTAAAAACTGGAAAGAAACTGACATTTTGGTTAATCGCTCAGCACTACTGATACATGATGTTCTGTAAGTGATGCAATTATGATAGGCCAATTATCTGTGGTATTTACATATAGTGTAATGTAGATTATCAGTATTATCATCATTACCTCTCCCTCTCTTTCTTGCTATTTGCCTCCAGGCCATTGGCTCAAAAGTGGACGGTGATGCTCTTCTTGGGCACGTGTCTCCTCTACTGTGCCAGGATGGCCATGCCAATCTGTGCTGTCAACATGGCCACCACGTTTGGCTGGAGCAAGACGCAGTCGGGTGTGGTAATGGGGGGCTTCTTCTGGGGTTACTGCTTCACTCAGGTGCTGGGAGGTTACGCCAGCGACAGGTGGGTCAACCTCCGGTGGTCTGAATGAGAGAAACAATGCATACCGATTGGGATTTGTATTGTTTGGTCTTGAGTGATTGCCTGTTACATAATGTCCATGTTAGAAGCTGGAAGTCACCTTTCTTGTGTGCTGTGAAGACTGCTCTGACTCTGCTCATGATTGTTTGTTTTGCCAGAATTGGTGGAGAACGGGTCCTGCTTCTTGCCACTACGTCCTGGGCTTCCATTACAGCATGCACCCCTCTGTTGGCGCGACTGGGCATCAGTCCCCTCACCTCCATGACGGTGGCCAGATTCCTTATGGGGCTATTACAAGGTGAGAGGGTGGAAACAAGAGTTTCGCACATGAAACTTCAGCCACAGTCTCCACCCTCTTTCTTCTCTTTTAGAATGGTTTGGTAACTTTGATAACATGTGCGCAGTGATCTAAGGCACTGCATCGCAGTGCTAGCTGTGCCACTAGAGATCCTGGTTCGAATCCAGGCTCTGTCGCAGCCGGCCGCGACTGGGAGACTCATGGGCGGCGCACAATTGGCCTAGCGTTGTCCAGGGTAGGGGAGGGAATGGCCGGCAGGGATGTAGCTCAGTTGATAGAGCATGGCGTTTGCAACGCCAGGGTTGTGGGTTTGATTCCCACGGGGGACCAGTTTGAAAAAATATATATATATATTACAAAAAAGAATATATATGTATTCACTAACTGTAAGTCGCTCTGGATAAGAGCGTCTGCTAAATGACTAAAATGTAAAATGTAAATAACATCTGCTTTCCCTCAGGCGTCCACTACCCCTCTTTAGCCAGTCTTTGCTCCCAACGTGTGGTTGAAGTGGAGAGAGGCTTTCTGATGAGTACAATGGGCAGTGGCTCTTATATGGGGTAAGTTATACATGTAACAAACATACACAGGTCTCTAATTATACCAACATCCATCTCTGATTTATAATTGAATCATAAATAGCTTTATCTCAAATACGTTCTAAGGAAATGCTTCTTCCTCATTGTGCTTCTATGCTTGTGAGTCAGAACACTGATGGTGGGGGGACTGGGGTCCGTGATGTTGGAACGCTACGACTGGGAGAGTGTGTTCTACGGCGTTGGTCTGCTCTCGGGACTGTGGTCATTGACTGTGTGGAGATTTCTACTGAGAGGTACTCTATGGTAGCAATATAATAATCTATAGAATTGGTGCTTTGTGCATAAATATATTTAGTTTTAAAGTATCAGAACATTTGAATGGATGTGTTGTATGTAATAGTTGTTTCACTGAATTAAGTGGTTGTTCTAGGTTCCAGGTTTCATATGAGGTAGGCTGCTATAATATTTCATACTAATGTAATATATTTCTAGTTTGAAAGTATCTACAAAATGTAATGCATGTGTTATGCATATTAGTTGTTTCACTGTAGTGGTTGTTATGTATGATTCATGAGGTAGGCTTCTTTAATCATACTGCTGTATATGATCATGTGTGTGTCGGTTGCAGGTCAAATGAACACAATGCAAATGCTGTCAAGCCATGGATCCAGTTCGGGTCTGTCAAAGAAACGCTGGCTAAAAATGTTAAAACAGCCCTCTGTGTGGTACAGCTCAAATTTTGCATATGTTGATTGTGGACATAATACAGTATGGCACATGGATGTTATGCAAATGTGCTGCAACTTCTTGTTTTTACCTTGATGTTGTCTGCTTGCCTAGCTCCACTGCTTTTTTTTTACTCTCTTGTTCTCTCTCTTTCACCTCTCTTCAGTGCCATGGTCTTTGCTCACCTATGCTTCAGCAGTACTAGTTACACATTGATGTCATGGCTACCAACCTTTTTCAAAGATACATATCCGCACGCCAAGGTATTAAACCTTTATCTCTTCTGCCACTTTCTTTACCTTATCCAAAAAGCATGTCTTACCTATATAATAATAAATAGTCTATCCATTGCAATTTAGTGTAATCTGTATTGTAACTCATACTTATAATCTATTTTATTCCAGGGATGGGTGTGTAACGTAATTCCATGGTTGGTTGCAATCCCATCTGCGCTCTTTGGAGGCATAATTTCGGATCAATTAATTCAGCAAGGTATAAGAATGACACAGATTAGAGCACAACGTTTGTTTGATTGTTTGTTTTGCTGCTTCCTTAGTAAGCTATTGAAGCCATTTCATAGTAACATACAGTTTTTTGTTCTAGGATTTGGAACAGCATCTGTTAGGAAGATGATGCAGGTAAGTTTATCTGGTTTTGAATCATTAACTTATATTCTTGTGTAACTGAACACAATATTCAGTGTTTTGTGGACAGAGAGAAAGTACAGGTATGCATAAGAGGTTTGTTCAGACAGGTTAGAGCTCCCCATTTTCATGCCAGACAAGGCAATCATACATATCCTTGGGGCTCAGGCAATTATTTCCCCTGACTAACATACAGTGGGGTCTGAAATTATTGACACCCTTGATAAAGATGAGCAATAATGACTGTATAAAAATAAATCATGAAAAAACTGAGCTATATTGTATGCTCAAAGAAATTGGGAAATTATATTATTTTATACTAATACAATTGCTCAGAGAAAGAGATTTTGTTTCACAAGTAATACTTCTTTTTCTCAAAAAGGTAGGAGTCAAAATTATTGACACCCTTAAAGATTCTTATAAATGAAGTAGTCAAAAGTTTAGTATTTGTTCCCAAATTCCTAGCATGCAATGACTACATCAAGCTTGTGACTCTACAAACTTTTTGGATGCATTTGCAGTTAGTTTCGGTTGTGTTTCAGATTATTTTGTACCCAATAGAAATTAATTGTAAAAATGTATTGAGTCACTTTTATTGTAAATAAGAATATAATGTTTCTAAACACTTCTACATTAATGTGGACGATACCATGATAACGGATAATCCTGAAAGAATCGTGAATAATGATGATTGAGAAATTTACAGAGGGTCAAAGATCATACCCCCAAGACATTCTAACCTCTCAACATTATCAATAACAGGGGAGATTAGCATGTCTTATCTTTGACCCTCTGTAACTTTCTCACTCATCATTATTCACGATTCATTCAGAATTATCCGTAATCATGGTAGCATCATCCATTCTATAGAAACAGATCAGGTTTTGAATAATGTAGCACTGATTCCCAACATATGGAAATTCCTCACAGGGAATTTCACCACCAACAGATACTGTATGCATGTTTCTGTCAAGTGTTGATATCTTTGAAGCATTTATCTTATGTCCTCCTTGGGATTGGGAGTAGATAATCGGTGGGATGCACACACTTTCTGTTTTCATTTTAGCCAGAAGAGTGTCTATGGTGGTCAACATGATCAATAACAGGGGAGGTTAGCATGTCTTATCTCATTATTCACGATTCATTCAGGACTATCTGGAATCATGGTAGCATCCACATGAATGTAGAAGTGTTTAGAAACATTATATTCTTATTTACAATAAAAGTGACTCAATAATGACACAATACATTATTTACCATTCATTTCTATTGGGCACAAAATAATCTGAAACACAACCAAAACAAACTGCAAATGGATCCAACAAGTAGAGTAGAGTCACAAGCTAGATGTAGTCATTGCGTGCTAGGAATATGCGACCAAATACTAAACTTTTGACTACTTTACTTATAAGAATTTTTTATGTCAATCATTTAGATCCCTACGTTTTTGAGAAAATATTACCTGTTAAACAAAATATTTTTCTCTGAGCAATTATGTTAGTCAGTATTTGAATTATTTATTTAATACAGTCATTGTTGCTCATCTTTGTCAACGGTGTCAATAATCAGACATAACTGAATTAGCTACAGTATCTCTTGAAATGGGGAATTTAAAGTTAAAGTGGCTCCAGTCTCTTTTTCACCTCATTTAACACCTGATTTACATTACAAAAGGCACATCTCAATATGTGGTCCTGGCAAGTCATGACATACAGTGGGGGAAAAAAGTATTTAGTCAGCCATCAATTGTGCAAGTTCTCCCACTTAAAAAGATGAGAGAGGCCTGTAATTTTCATCATAGGTACAGGTCAACTATGACAGACACATTGAGGAAAAGAAATCCAGAAAATCACATTGTAGGATTTTTTATGAATTTAGTTGCAAATTATGGTGGAAAATAAGTATTTGGTCACCTACAAACAAGCAAGATTTCTGGCTCTCACAGACCTGTAACTTCTTCGTTAAGAGGCTCCTCTGTCCTCCATTAGTTACCTGTATTAATGGCACCTGTTTGAACTTGTTATCAATATAAAATACACCTGTCCACAACCTCAAACAGTCACACTCCAAACTCCACTATGGCCAAGTCCAAAGAGCTGTCAAAGGACACCAGAAACAAAATTGTAGACCTGCACCAGGCTGGGAAGACTGAATCTGCAATAGGTAAGCAGCTTGGTTTGAAGAAATCAACTGTGAGAGCAATTATTAGGAAATGGAAGACATACAAGACCACTGATAATCACAAGAACGGTGAGCAAAAATCCCAGAACCACACGGGGGGACCTAGTAAATGACCTGCAGAGAGCTGGGACCAAAGTAACAAAGCCTACCATCAGTAACACACTACGCCGCCAGGGACTCAAATCCTACAGTGCCAGACGTGTCCCCCTGCTTAAGCCAGTACATGTCCAGGCCCGTCTGAAGTTTGCTAGAGTCCATTTGAATGATCCAGAAGAGGATTGGGAGAATGTCATATGGTCAGATGAAACCAAAATAGAACTTTTTGGTAAAAACTCAACTCGTCGTGTTTGGAGGACAAAGAATGCTGAGTTGCATCCTAAGAACACCATACCTACTGTGAAGCATGGGGGTGGAAACATCATGCTTTGGGGCTGTTTTTCTGCAAAGGGACCAGGACGACTGATCCGTGTAAAGGAAAGAATGAATGGGGCCATGTATCGTGAGATTTTGAGTGAAAACCTCCTTCCATCAGCAAGGGCATTGAAGATGAAACGTGGCTGGGTCTTTCAGCATGACAATGATCCCAAACACACCACCCGGGCAACGAAGGAGTGGCTTCGTAAGAAGCATTTCAAGGTCCTGGAGTGGCCTAGCCAGTCTCCAGATCTCAACCCCATAGAACATCTTTGGAGGGAGTTGAAAGTCTGTGTTGCCCAGCGACAGCCCCAAAACATCACTGCTCTAGAGGAGATCTGCATGGAGGAATGGGCCAAAATACCAGCAACAGTGTGTGAAAACCTTGTGAAGACTTACAGAAAACGTTTGATCTGCCAACAAAGGGTATAAAACAAAGTATTGAGAAACTTTTGTTATTGACCAAATACTTATTTTCCACCATCATTTGCAAATAAATTCATAAAAAATCCTACAATGTAATTTTCTGGATTTCTTTTTCTCATTTTGTCTGACATAGTTGACGTGTACCTATGATGAAAATTACAGGCCTCTCTCATCTTTTTAAGTGGGAGAACTTGCACAATTGGTGGCTGACTAAATACTTTTTTTCCCCACTGTAGCACAAGAGACGGGTGGGCTTTTCCTCTTTCTCTATTGTTCCCATCAAAATAACTCCTTGAATGCCCTACTCCTTGAAGTTTGCATTTGTGTCAAAAAAACACTATTTTGCTCAAAATGTATTTTTTTTTACACTTTAATGTGCGTACTTTACTGTATTTATACTTTGGATATCGCTTTTCCACAGGAGAAGTTCACAAATCGCTGGAGGACGTATTTAAATAAGTAGATTATTCTCCGTTACATCCTCTCTCTCTAGTGATCAGTGTGTTTCTCTCTCCTCATACAGTTCATGTCCATGGGTGTGTCCAGTGTGTTTATCCTGCTACTCTGCAGGCCACTCTCCTTCCCTTCCGCTGTGGTCTTTGTCTCCGCTGCTATGGGCCTGGCCACCTTCAACAGCAGGTCTGTTTCTGTGTGCTTTCATGTAACATTATTCAATCCACATAATAGAGGTACACCTGTACATACACATGTAGGGTAACTTCTCATCCAGTAATAGAGGTATTAGTATACTAACCCATTGCCATTGTCCCCATGCCCTAGTGGTGTGTCTGTGAATGTACAAGACCTCGCCCCATCGTGTGCTGGAGCCATGTTTGGTCAGTTTGTTCATCTCTTTATGTCAACAAATGTCTTTGGGTATCATTGTCTTTCCATTCCATCTGTTCCATTTTGATTGACAAACAAATATGTTCACAAAAATGTATATTTTCTTTCTTTTTTTTTAACAGGATTTATGAATATGTGTGGGGCTTTCACAGGTAGGCATTAGATATCAAGCCCCCATGTATACTGTACATCAGAATGATATATAATGTTCACGGTTAAGTGTATTAAAGGCCTATGTACTGTATTTGACTGTGTAAAAGAGACCAGTTTGTGTATCCTACAGGTCTGGTGCTGGTCTACGTCTCTGGGTACCTGATTGAGGTCACAGCTTCCTGGGCTTCCGTGTTCTCCCTCATCACAATGGTGAATACCATGGGCCTCGGAGCATTCCTCATGTTTGGTGAAGCCAACCGTGTGGACTTGTGGAATTCGTCCAAAGTCACATGTTTATGACCAACACAAAGAGACTGCCAAAAACTTAGTGTGTATATCTGTGTAGGCCATAATGACTGTCTAACAAAATGGTTTGTGAAGAGGATTGTAGGCCTGAATACAACAGGCCTGTGAAAAAATGACTTGTTTCTGTCATGTTTTAAATTATGCCCTCGTGCACCAGGTCTGAGAATAACATGGTTTAAAATATTTATAGTTCAATGTTGCTTCACTAGGTAGAACTTTGAAAACATTATCTATTGTCCCTGAAATTGAAAAGCAAAACAAGACAACAGTAAACGTCATCCCCCAGGAATGATGTGACTAACACATTTCAGTTATTGTGTGTGACCACAGATTAGCCATTATATTGACCAGATCCTCAAGTGGCCGCTCTAACAATAAAAATAAATGTCTTCAAAAATGGAAGGCGGTTAGCCTGGGTACCAGTCCAGGTCTTGACATTCAGGTAAATTTGCCAGTGGCACACCGGGCCAGTACCAAGTGAAAACTACTGGCCCGAATAAAACAATTACTGGCCCGGGCCAAGATCACAGGAAAGCAAGTTATGCACGCAGAATTTAAATCTGGGTGATTTCATATTTCATTTGCAGTCTGGGCAAATACCTTATATTATAGCCAACCATCAAATCAGACATGTATTTACACTGATTGTTTAGAAAACAAAAATAAAACCATGCCCCCCTCTCAATGATGACATATAGCCTATGTCCAGAAATTAGCCTAATAACATATTGATGAAAAGCAATATCTTAGGGCCTGTACATGGTCCATATGATCAGGCAGGTGTACTATTTTAGCAATAAGTATTATCACCTGTCTGATGCAGCTACATGGCTGAAGCATGGGGTTGCTCCTCTGCAGTGTTTACCCCAATGGGTTAATCATTAGCTAGATCACAGACTAAATATGATCTTGTTGCTTGTTTAATGTCTTAAAAAAAACTCCCACTGGCATTCATCAAATCATGTGATTTTTTGTGTGCATATAAATAGTGGAATTGTGTGAATATAGGCCTAGGTATATGCATTCGAATGGTTGACGCGCATCCCGCAGTTACTTTTTTTAAATTGTCATGCCAGACACTAAAGATTGTAAAACGCTGCCAATTGGAGTTGAGAAATAAATCATAGTCCTACAGCACTGAAAATCTGGGATCCCGCTCTTTTCAATGATTTCCATCAAAACTGTTGTATTTTCCCGAGATTGCATTTAAGAATGTTGCGCAGAGACTGGGTTAATTAGAACACATTTATTTCTGCGCAGCAATCAGCTGTGTCCGGAGTTGTGAGCTCTTGCCACCTGACAGTTGATATTCAGCTAATAAATAAACGACATAGCTCATGAACAGCTTCGGGAATTAATCTGGTTTTTAAACAATTATATAGGTCTAGACTACAGAATAGCATTATTACAATATTCATTTAGCATTTAACCAACAAGTGATTTGTGTAAATAGGCTAATGTTCGTGTTCATGACAAGCAAGAAGCTCCATAGTGTAGGCCTACTTGGTTGGTGGACCTTATGTAAACCTTTCTTTGCTAATGATGACATCGTCGTGTCTGATATGAAAAAAGACTGAAAAGCAGGTGGAGGACTTTTGAATCGCTTGCGGATGTTCAACTATGAATTGATGGGCTGGTCTATCCAGGAAGATGAGGCAGGGGCTCACTCGAGATGGACAGGGAAGGCTTTGACATTATTGCCTCCGCTTAGAAGCTGGTTGATAACAAGTGTGAAGCGTCAGATGTTGGGAAGATTGTGAATGTATAAATACAAGTAGCCTATATAGCCTATATATTTTTTTCTGTTTTGGAGGCCAGTGCTGTCTGTGATATCTCGTGTGACTAAATGATGGACAGACAGAAGGACGGATGGAGAACGATCCACAATCCCTCCCCGATTTCATCGTGGGGGACAATAAACAGAGCTAGTAGAAAGCAACTTTACGCGCGCACACCCTTGGGGAGGCAAAGCGGGATGAGAACGATCCACAATCCCTCCCCGATATCATTGTGGGGGACAATAAACAGATCTAGTAGAAAGCAACTTTACGCGCGCACACCCTTGGGGAGGCAAAGCGTGCGGAGCATCAGTGCAGTTTCAGTACCATAGCCAGTGGAGAGCCGCTAGCAGTGTAAGTCTGACAATGACAAATCAGATATTATGTATTATGGAAACACTGGAAGTGAACAGTACGTTGGTTGAAATCTCTCTCTGCAGATTACTACAGAAATATCCAAGATGTGTCCTATTCTCACATATGAACGGATCATCATAATTAGGCAATTCTCATTCGCTGTGAAGAAGCTAAATGATGTCTGTGTGTGCTGCTGCTGTGCAGTGTGAAATATTGTGCAGGTTTAGTGCGGCGGCCGATTTAATGCCCCATTCTGCAAAATGTCAACAGCTCATTTCAAGCACATTTCGCTGATGAGAATCCGCTCGGTTTATGGTGGGGAAGTTTGACACTGTCCGGTCCGTGACGTCAAGCTTGCGTCGATCTAATCCTCGAGCATTGCATTCAATCAGCGGAAGTCTGGGATGGGAAGAAGAGAAGCTCATCCTGCTAGATTGGTTCAGAGATTGTGAAAACAAAACAAGTGGACAACAAATGTTTCGGAAAATCAAGGTTAATATATAGGGCAAATGTATTTGAACCGGTGCCCTCTCTCCCGTTATGAGTTATCACGGCTGGACTGGTCCTGATGCTGCGGATGCCTGATGCCTGGACCATTGTTTTAGGCCTAGCCTATTATATTTAAGCTATTCTATAGCCAAATATGGACAACATTCCGTAGGCCTATGGCTACTACTACATAATTATTCTGATCCAAGGGTGTACATCGACAGTGAGTTCTTGTTTAGAAGAGAACAAAACTCGCTAATAGGAGTCAGTGCGTCAAATATGGAAACGAATTGATGCTTCTGGAATGATAGTGGCACCCTGTTGAAACTGGACCATATGAGATAGGCTATAGGATGCTAGGCTATACCTACATCAAATAAATGTAAATATCCGTCGTTCTGTAGATATGCCCTTGTGATCCGAGTCAACTTCACATTCCTGAAGAAAAACACGTTTGAGGTGATGGTGATCTGGAAACGGTCTTGCTCGTGTTTATTGGCATTAGTCTAAGGAATCAATTAATCTGTAATCTAGGTACATTTATAGGGAAAAATTGGATTACCGCTTTTCGTGTTCACGGCAGACCTTGATTTAATACAATACAATTAAGGCACGCGGTGAATGCCAAGAGAGGAATCACCTTAACGTCGATCCAAATCATTAAAGTAATTGTATTTTAGGCAATACAAAATAAACGTAGTTAGCCTACTGCAGTGGTGAGAAACATAGCCTTCTGCAACTATGAGGTCTTGGGATGAAACACTTGAAAGAGATATGGACACAAGTCACACATTTTACCTCCCTATTTTAATGAATCAGTTAGCCTTGGTTTGATGTGCTGTGAATTATGTACAGTTCTGTTGAAATAATAAAGGCGTTTTGGCGTTCGGACTATTCCATTGGTTTCAGCAGAGAAATTGTGTTTTTGACCCAGGTGTGATATGTCAACATCCAGTATACTTTAGGCACCAAAAAAATTATAATTAACAAATGGGTTTTCCCCCAAAAGGGAAACAGGGGTACAAAGCGAAACATACTTAGATGCAGACATGATACCTTTCACTCACAATGGAACAAACCAAAAACACTTCAAACAGATAGTATACCTTTAATAATGACCATGATCAAACTTAAGAATGTGATAGTGACCTTTGATACAATGTATATTCAATTCAGGGGTGACTTAAACGTTTGTTTTGTTAAATGTTCATATATTATCAGGAATCATTTCCAATTCTATTATATAAATCTGATTCCCTCAATAATCACACTCCCTCCCAGTCTTTCACACTTGCATACAGACATACACAGTACAGCAAGCCCCCAAAAATAAAGGAAATCACGCAGATACCATATAGACCATTCTCTGGGTTTTCATACACTTGACATTAAATCAGTAACATTAATTTTAATGATACACATTTCAGGTGTTCTCAGTTAGCCTTGCCAGTACATTAAAGCTTAACATTTCTGAGGATGAAGTGGAAGGGTTATAGTGACAAAAATATCAATTTTAATTCTGTATGGAAATGACAATGCGCAGAAACAGAGAGTGACAGGCCGATCTTGAATTTAAAAGCAGTACATGCTACATTTTGTCCCCAAAATGACTTAAACAGAGACCCCCGGTGTTGGAATGACAGGGAACAGAGAAAAGTAACAGATATGATACAAGGAAAAATACATGATTTAAAATAGGAAAAATACAACAATCGTATTGTCCGGCTAAGAACCTGAACACAGTTTGTTTGCATTTCCACCCCATAAAGAACAAAGAGAGGGACCTCCTTTGAGAGCGGATGTTCAAGACATCTTTCCCCTGAATCTTTTCGCTGACACACTTGAGGTACAGTAGAGCAAATATAGTTTAATTGACACTGTTGTCAGAAAGAAATGTTAAGGCTCCACTGAAAAAAAATAATGAAAACGTCTTGTATCTCATCTTCAACATAGTTTGTTGTCACAAGTGATAAGCCAAGTGACATTATTTAAAAAATGTTATTATTTTTTTAAACTTTCACCTTATCCATAATATGCATCATTTGCAGAAGCTTTTTGGATAGAAAATCTTCTACCAAGCCGCAAACCACCCTCAGATGGACAAGGGCAAAACAGCACAGTTTCTTTTGATTATGCAAAATAAAACTGTTCCAAGTATAATTATCAAACATTTGTCAAGATTCAGTTGTCAAGTTCACTCTTCTTAAATCAGAACAAGCAATACGAGCACTTCAAGTTTCTCAACACTCACACCACAAGTTGAACAGTCACTGAATATCAGCAGCATGTTTAGAGATTTTTTTTTTTTTTTTAAAGACGTGCAGATATTTGTTAATCATAATTAAGGATGTGCGTGTGGGGGTATAACAAATAGGAGACCAGGGTTAAAATACAGAATAAAGAACACTAAAATTATGAAGCAATTTGATTGGTGTGCACAGCTTGGAGACTGGGAACCAGACCAGGAGCAAGATGGCTCAAAGTTTGATGTGGGCCAAAGTCATCAAAATTAAATAGAAAAAGAAATATAGGTTTCCAATTTCTTTATGTCCTCTTTCTTGTTTTTTCATGATCTAAATGTCAATATGTCCATCCAAGTACAACCGTTGATCAAGCTATAAGGAGTAGTCTTCTATTGTGGTTTACTTCTGTTTTGGTGTTCCTTGGTTGGGGAGGGGAAGAAAAAACAAAATGGTTACCATTAGAAAACCATTAATAAATGTATAATCTTCCACCCCACTACCATGGTATATTATTCCCTTAGAGACATAGGGAACAATGTCGATTGGCAGAAGCCGAATAGAAGTTACATTTCACTCAGAAAAGGGTCTTTACCTGGGATCCTCTCTGTATTGGAGCTGGCTCATAGGTCTGTTGAAAGAGAAGTAACAGAGGAATTTTGTGATGGTTACACCTCCTGCACAAAACACAATAAAATGGCAGCAAACAAATACAAAACAGTAGACATTTCGTCTGTGATAGGACAAAATAAGAAATACAAACTCTGGAAGGAGATGTTTGTTATGGTTTTTGGATCATTACAAACACTGATGAAACCCATCCTTAATTAATGATCAGTTAGTTCAGGATCTCTGCGATCAACAACAGGAGACTAATTATTGATTACCTTTCTGACAACCTCCTCTTCCTCCTGTCTCTTCTCATAGTGGGAGAAGTCATCAAAGATGGAGGTGGTGTGTTTGAAGCCCACGATGATCTTCAGCACTTGCTTGGCCTTCTCCAGAGGGACCTCCTGAGTGTCCCTAGAGTTGGTCACCGGCTTGTTGTCGTTGTTCTCCAGCCTGATGTGCCTCAGCTGGCTATTGGGCACGTCCTTCACAAACAGCCAGTCCACGTCAAACTTGCCTTTCCACTTGTCCTGCGCCCAGACGCCAGCACTGGTGCCATAGTCCACGGGCGAGCGCATCTCTGCCACACCGCAGAAGTGCCCGCTGCCATTGACGCTGAACAGCAGATAGACAGGACCTTTGGGACTGATGGCACGAAAGGCTGAGTCCAGACGCTTGTTGCCGTGCTCTGTGCTGCACCAGATTGAGTATTTGATGGAGCGGTGGATGTCATCCTCAGAGTAGCTCTTGATGATGAACACGCGGCCGTTCTTCAGGTTCCAGTCAAACTCTTTAGGGTTGTAGCTGTGGGCAGCCCGCAGCTTCTCCAGAACAGGGTGGTTCTCTAGACCTGGGCCAGAACCTAGAGTCAAACCTCCACCCCCTCCACCTCCATTCCCAACACCCCCGCCACTAGAGGAACCGCTGCTGTCCATACTGCCCCCTCCGTAGCCCGGATTACGGTTGCGCGGGGCAACCCAGCGGGTCTGAGGGGGCGGGCCTGAGTTGTGGTTCTGGTATGACTGTGGAGGGGGCGGGCCCATGGTCATCTGCTGCACAAGGGACTGGGCAGATTGAATGGACTGCTGAGGGGGAGGGGGGAGCCCGTGGGGAAGGTGGGCATGGCCATGATGGAGCTGCTGCTGCTGATGTTGGTGGTGGGGGGGCAGTGGAGGGGCCACTTTGCTTATAGGCCCCTTGTTATCCCATGTCCCAATGTCCATGTTGTGTTTGATGGGCGGTGGTGGCAGGGCTCCTCCCATGGCCATGCCTGGCTTGGCCTTGGCCTTCAGCAGCTGTGGCTTGGCTGGTTTGCTGGCGATAGCGGCCCAGGACGTGGGCTTAGGAGGGGGCATGCCAATTGGTGTTCCACCGTTGCCTGTAGCAACAGCCTGAGCCACAGCACCACCACCGCCGATCACAGAACCCACGCTCTTCACGCCTGAGCCACTGCCCGACACGTCCCCACCTATCCTCAGCCCCAGCATCCCCTGTTCCAGGCTGTTCATACCTGGCGCCTTGCTTAGAGTGTCACTGTGGAACCCTGTTTGGCCATCAGGGACTAGTGTGCCCCCCAGGGAGCTGGGAGGGTAGCTGTAGCTGCCCCCATAGGCTGAACTCTGAGTCTGCTGGCCTTGAGACCCACTGGTACCCCAGGCGGAGAAGGCTGGGTTCTCAGGGAAAAAGTTAAACCTATGCGGGTAGATGCTGCTGCCAAGCCCCCCAGGCTGGCCGAACACAGTGTCATGCATGAAGTGGTGGTCTCCATTGCTGAGGGGCGCATAGGGGGTCAGGTAAGGGATAGGGGGGTCGCCACCGGTGGACCAAGGGGCCTCGCTAAGAGGGTAGGGGAATCCAATGGAGGGGGCATAGTAGCTGGACAGGTAAGGGTCAGTCATGGATTGGTAGCTGTTGTTCTAGAAAATAAAAAGGAGGAGTGTAAATACAATTTGTTTTTAAAATCCTGACACAAACTAAGTGTCAACAACATGACCTACCACCACCAAAACTCCAATGACCGTTAGCTTATACCCCAACAACCCTGATTTTAAAATCAAAGGGTGTGCGTACAGTACTTAGACATCACACATAATCTGTAATGATGTCAATGGAGTAATAATATATGCTAATGAGGTAGCCAAGAAAACATCCATCCTCCTGTGAGACAGTATTGATTTGTGGTCCTCCCCTGCAGCCTAGTTGGAAAATATTCTATAATGACAAAGATACACACCATATTTCAAAAGTCACTCACCTGATTGGATTGGCCAGTGAGATAGGGCTCAAAGTCATTATCATGGACAGTTTCCTTCTGGTGGAGTGAACCATTTTGCACTGAAACCGGAAAGACTGTGATAGTAGGGTTATTTATCACTGTCATATCACATTTTATTTGTCACATGCTTCGTAAACAACAGGTGTAGACTAACAGTGAAATGCTTACTTAACAATACAGACAAACACACTTACAAGTCTCCCTCCTTCATTCACCCATAAACGAAAAAACAAGACATGCTTTGCGTATGCCTGCCTGAGAAGACCATAAAAATCTGATGTTAGCAATGTTGTTCTGTAGGACTGTAACACTTGCATAACAAGACATGCATCACTGAAATCATGTCATAGAATCTGGTGTGATGACTGTTAGCTAGATTATATTTGAAAGAGAAACTGGGGGGGGGGGGGGGGGGGGGGGGGGGGGGGGGGGGGGAAATCGCGCTTGGTTCATATAACCGTTACTTCAGGAAACCTCCCGTAGCAGCAAGATGCGGCTGTAATAAACAGAGCGGCTTCTGTTTTCTTCCTACAAATGTAGCTCTATCTTTTGAACCGTTAAAGCTACAAAATATTATGACCCCATCACTGAAACATAAGATTTCAGAAACACGTGTGTGTCTTCTGTTTCCCTCTACAATGCCACGCAGAACTCATTAGAACAGAGGGGACAAGAGCAAGCACTAAATCAGACTGGGAAAAAAGAACACCAATGATGTTATTTTCTACACAGACAATAAATACACAATCATTGCCCGATGCTCTTCTGAACTTCCCAATACCTTTCTGATGTATTTCAGTCACTTCAAACCATACTTCCTTCAAATTGAAATACTGTCAAATGTACTGTCAGACTGATTTGTAATAGACTGTCATAGCCCCAATAAAAAAAGTTCAGTTTTTGTTCTTTTCTCTTTTTTTTTTACATGGTGGCGGTCGCGATTTAAAAAATAGATTTATATCGAAATGGGGTCGCGGGCCAAAAAACTTTGGGAACCCCTGACCTAGCACGACTTGACTTCATCTTTGACGAATGTTACTATATTGCAAGAGCCAGCGTTGCATTTACACCGCAGGTGCATTTTTGGTAACTCAAGTCAGTGCTCGCGACCCGCCACCAGCGGAGCAATCGTCGTCTAGCTAGCCTAATTAGCAGCCAGCGACAAATATTGTCTAGCAAAGCTAACTATAACGTTAGCTGCAGTGCTCTTACCTTTAGCGTCTTGTCCTTTTGAATTCTTCAGTTCCGTGTAATTGGTTAAAATGTAAAAGAGAGAACATTTACGTTTTAGCCGTCTAATGTCTATTAAAAAAATACACACTCACTGAAAATTAGAAGTTCGCTTAGTTACATTAGCTGGCTAGCTAACCACATACACAGATTAGAAGGCTCAATCTTTGACATAGCGTTAATACAGATGAAAGGGGTTAGTTATCATAATATTGGGCGTCGTTAACTCTGAAACACAACTTACTAGCGCTGGTTAACCACTGTGCTGCAACAGTTGAAAGTGTTCCTTACAATAATCAGAGAAATGCATAGGCTTTTAGCAAACCACACAGCTAAATGTTAGCTAGCGGCTAACTACCTAGCCATAACTCAGTTTGAGTAAACGTTAGTTAGCCAGTTGGTAGCATCGCATCTATCAGCAATGGCAACAGAGATGGATTGGAGGTATAACCCCCTTTTATAAAATGTAAAGGCCTTAACGCTGAATGGATTCTTCCAGGCAAATACAGCCTGCCTACCTGAGGGTCAATACTTGTAGCAGACATAATTCATGAAGCAAGCCACTGGATTTGTGTAGAGCCTTTCAATTAACGTCTTCTCTCAAAAACTAGGTTGTTTTCTTCGGTCCCAGTACAGTAGCTAGCTTGCTAACAGCAAGGTTTTTTTTCTAACTACGTTACAGTCAGCAGCAAGCTAGCTCCAACTCCAGTTCCACTGTTCAATTTTGCCAGTCCCCATGCATTTACGTAAATCCAATTTGGAGGTGGTTCCGAAGGGTCCACTGTTAAGGTTTATTTGAGCGTTTCCCCCCCTCTCCACCAAATTTCAGTTATTGTGCTTTGATGGCCCTGTTCACTTCCCCCAATGGCAGGTTCATCCGGGGTCTAAATGAAGAGGATTGACGTCAGCGGCACACCAGGCACGGTGCGTCAAAGACAAAACGTCGGAAGTAATTCATCTTCAATGGCAGTACCGCGGTAGTCGCGTTTCAGTAGCATCCGACTGTGATTTTAACGTTCTGCCGCGATGACGAATCAGCGCGCTAACCAATCCAACGGAAGAGTGATGGGGGACGTCCAGAAACGGGCATATTTATTTGGGGCCCAATCTACTATATTCAAGGTAAAGCTTTGATTATCAAATAAAAACGTACTAGAGAAATAACTCTCTATTGCAATTTAGATATACATTACGACATTATCTTGACGACTACAAGTCACTTGAGTAGGCTTACATGCAGTACTATGAGGCAATGTGTGAAACAGTGCAGTGAAGCCATTTAGTGAGTTATTTCCATTCATACTTTTTAAAATGAAGACAATTATTCTGTTGTATTTCTCTAATTGACCTACAAACACGTTGTTATAAGTGCTTAATATAGAGAATGTATCATAGGCTCAGAGTACACTACAGCCCTGCAATAATTATATCATATTCTGATTTGATGGACTCTTGGAGTTGAAAAGATGTGAGCAAATATTGAATAATAGTGAGTGATACTCACTGACCAACCCAATGATTAACATGATAATTTTTATCAGTAGTATGGCAAGTAAATTAGGAATATGACATTAACAAAACACATTGCACACATTAGCTAAAAGAAAAGCGCTGTTTATTTCAACAAAATCCACTTAAAGATACTTTCAGGGCCTTTTTCCACCAGTGGCATCTAAATTCAGAAGAAATTCAGAGGTAGGCCTAGGAGATGCTCCCTGACTATATCTTTAAGATTTATTTTTTACATGAACCACTGGCATTAACTTATTTATATCACAATATTGAAGATTATTTACTAAATGTCTTTATTTTCCTCTGGTATCTGGAATCAGTCCATTCTCATGTATGAACTACACACACACACACACACTCACACACACACACACACACACACACACACACACACACACACACACACACACACACACACACACACACACACACACACACACACACACACACACACACAGAGAGAGAGAGAGACAGACAGACAGACACCTTCACATAGGTCCAAATCCTAACTTGAAATCTGTATACATAATTTAAATCATTTGCATGTAACTGTAATTTTCGTGCAAATCTCTCATTAAAATCAATGTAAGACTCACAATTATAGGATTCGGTCCATATTCAACTGTTGTCATGAATGCATATTTTTACAGAGTGCCATTATGTCATAATACAACAAATACTATTTCCTGTACACTGATACATGTTATGTCAGAAGTATCAGTAGTGTTCTGAGTGTACCTGGATTGACCTAGCTTGGGTGCCAGTCTGTTTCTGCTCTCTTGCCAACTAGGAATTGTCATGCCAAACAACTTGACAATGACAATGTAGCAGGCAAAAACACAAACAAATATGCAGAGATGTAAAACTAATTACAACTACTCTCTTTACTGTAATTGAGTAGCTTTTCCAAGTACTTGTACTTTCTTTTAGTATTTTTCAAAGTCAGTAATTTTACTTCTACTTGAGTAAAATGTAATATAAGTAACAGTACTATTTCATTACTCTTTCCACCCCTGGTGAGTGAGTGAAAGAGGGAGTTTGTGTGTGTGTGTGAGTGAATGAGTGAGGGAATGTCACCCGGTCCCATGGACAAGTAACAAGTAACAAAGTGGTGATGAGGGATTGAATGGGTGAAAGAATTAGACATGTCTGAAGTATATTGAAGTCTGGCAACTTTATTGTTTAGGCCCTTTATTTTGTATTGCTTTTTTAAATTATCAATACATTTTAATTGCTTTGAAAGTTTACTTTATTTTCTTATGTTAATAGTATATTTTTGACAAATCCTTCGTTTTTTTACATGCAGATGTGCCTTGTTGCACTGAACTTAGTTCCTACTGTACATTCATTTCCTCCCTTCCTTTTTAAATATAATGCATGGAAAATATCACGTGTAACAACTTTCAGTTAACCATAGTGAAATTAGCTAATTATCAAGGTCAATGTTTTTATTTGAAAAGTAACTCATTTATTTTTACTCTGAGTACTTTTTAAATTAGCTACTTTTTTACTTGAGTAGTTTTTTTACACCAGTAATTTTACATCTACTTGAATAAAATGTCATTAAAGTAACAGTACTTCTACTTGAGTAGGATATTTCAGTACTCTTTCCACCTCTGCAGATCTGGGATTAAGTTAGTATTGACCATAACTGCACTGAACAGAGAACTCCTGCTGGTTTACTTTAGTATTCATTAAGAGTGCTGGTAGGCAGAGGAATTATGTTTTGTGACCATTGTGGGAATGTCTTCTGTTTCACTGACTGGAGATGTGATCTCACTCTTCCAAAGTAAGTATTCCAATCTCTTGTACCTCTTCTGCCCTCCTTGCCTGTCAGTCATTTTCAACCCACTTGCAACCCTTTACTTATAGTCTGTAAAACAAAACATGATAGCGAGATAATAAGGTAACTGCACAGTCTCATACAGAAACATATTGAATACACTCAGAAAAAAAGGTGCTACCTAGTACCTACAGTAAAAGGGTTATTCGGCTGTCCCCATAGGAGAACCCTTTGAGGAACCCTTTTGGTTCCAGGTAGAACCCTTTTCGGGTAAAATGGTGAACCCATTCCACAGAGGGTTCTATCTGGAATCCCAAAAGGGTTCTACCTGGAACCAAAAATGGTTATCCTATGGGGACAGCCGAATAACCCTTTTTTCTAAGAGTGTACTACAATATAAAAACACATGTACGTGTGTATGGTCTGGGATGACACTGTTTGTGCCGAATATGTATGATTTTGTTCCCCCTGAGAAAGTAATGGTACTTACAGCCCAATTCTGAACACTATAAGTACAACGGTGACGGTTTAGATGGATAATGAACCCCACCAATAAAATTAACTGAAAAAGAAAACAGAATTATATGAATAAATATATAATGATGCAACACTAACTTGATCAATGTACTTTTTCGATGGAAGCTTTTAAGCTCTAGACAGTTTGAACCAAATTAAAAGGGTATAATGATTACAATAAGTAAAAAGTGTGTGTGTGTGGGGGGGGGGGTGCCTTGACAGTATTACATTTATGTGGCTGTGACTTAATGCTTTAGTATCTGCTCCAGTATGTGTGTTAAATTGTGTGTTTTCTTGTTTGTTGTAACCATGTGTAAAATGCACTTTGAAAATTCACCTACAGCTGTCCTCCTCCTCTGTGAAGGTGCTGACCACATAGCAGGCGTAGACGAATCCCAAGAGCTGTAGGCACAAACACAGAGACCACAAGTTCAACATTACATTACAATGAAGAACACCACATTGGTACGTACTGAATTTATTTCTGAGAGAGAAAGGGAGAGAAATAGGTGGGGAGGAGGAGGTGGACAGACAGAGACAGCAAGGCAGCAGCTCTGGGAACCTGGCTCTGGAAATGACAGCCTCTTCTCATCAGCAGCTTTTCAGCTCCTTCAAGCACCTGCCACAGAACTCCCACACACACGCTGATATTCCGGCCTCTCTTTTTCTTCCTCACCCTCCTTCCAGCCCTACTCTGCTTCCTCTCTTCCTCTTGCCTTACCCTTGCTCTCTACATCTGTGGTCTGTTCTCAATGCGATTTAGATGTAGTTACACTGGAATCTGTCAGAATTGTGAATGAATAGAATGTCTTTGTGGATCCATTTCAGTGTTTCAGGATATTCTGGTGAGAGTGTTACAAAATACATATTCTAGGTGAACTCTGGGGAGGGTGTTGAAAGCAGTCAGAGACACTTGAATTCTGGTGAGAAATGTTTTACATTTTATAATGTTACAGGTTTTTTCACCTCTCCTGAGAGAGAGAACTCACAGAGATTAGGAGTTGTACGATGCAGTGCAGGACCTCTATGTATTGATATTCCAGCCAGCATCCCAGAGCAGAGATGAGTTCTGGGCTCTCCAGACTCTGCCATCTAGTGGCAGGAAGGTCCCTGTCATCACAGCCTGGACCATTGTCTTTCCACCATGAAGAGTGTGAGGATACACCCAGAGAAAGCAGTTCGCTCTCCTGCAGTGACACAGCATATGTGTTGTTCATGATAACATGTTTATGGTATGTAATTGTTTGGGAAAAAAGAGACTGATTGATTCAGTGCCAAAAGAACACACAATTCAAGGCAAAGCAAATATATTAGGCTAGTTGATGGTGGGACTGAATATTAGTGACCAATACCTTGGAAAGGCCTCCCAGGTCCAAGTAGAGACAGCTCACAAAGATATTCCACGCCACCCACAGTAATGTCCACAGCAGGTACTGAGGGATGAAAATATATTTGATGAGCATTTTAGACACATGATGTCTATCTATTTGTATGGAGGAAAATCATTATACATGACGCAATTGAAACAGTGGCCAATGCTGTTCCACAATAGTTATACAAATGGATTTGCCTTCAACACAGTTCCATTCTTCTATGAAGAATTGACACATTTCATTGAATTATCCATGTTGATTACAAGGTGGGGGCAGATTAACACAAAAGTAGTGTGGCCTAGATGTGACTTACTAGAACAACATAGCGTGGTCTGTACTGAATGGTGCCAAAGAGGCCGAGGATAACCATAATTATGTGCAGGAAGTTGACAATGATGGGAGCCCACTGGTACCCAAGGAAGTCAAAAGCCTGCCTCTCCAATGCTGTCATCTGGGGTGTCAAAGGGAGAGAGCAGGAGAGGGAGAAAGAGATGGGGGGGGGGGGGGGGGGGGGGGGGGTTAAGAAACTCTATTACATGTATTATGCATGATAAAGCATCTTATCAAGTCATCCACTCACTGGGTCCAGACTCTTCAGAGATTCTAATCTAAACAGTTGGTTCTGAATCGATGAGAGATGGATGATGGTGTTGTGACCTGTTACATGGGTATTTCCCTCCTATATACCCTATAAAGAATCCACTGCACATATTTTTCCCCCATGCTGACTGCTCTCTCTGGGTTGTCAAGGTAACTGAGCCACGGGGGACAAAGCATGTTGCATGGAGAGGGGCAGAGCAGGGATATGAGTTCTGTCCTCTGAGGTCGCCTTCTCAATCACTCAAAAGGGGGGCAGGGTGAGAAGAAGGGGCGGGGACAAAGTCTGAGGTTCAGACAGAGTGGGGGTTGGCTCCCTTTCCCCATAGGCAACTCATACTAGCAAGATAAACATGAATATTTTGTACTCTAACAACACTCAATAAATTAGCATGAATATAAAACATCGTGGCTAGTTAAAAATGTATATCAATTGATGTTTGATTGATACGTAATATTTATATAATATTAATCAACTTACATTTGTTTTTCTCAGCACACAAATATAAGCTATGTGTCCAACTATAAGCTATGTGTCCAACTATCAGGCTACATAATTATACTACAAAATTGTTTAATTCAATTTAGTTGGATATGGAAATAAGAGAGTCTTTGACTTGGGTTTCGTGAGTCGTGGGAACTAGCTATAATTTACACATGTTAATATCTCAAATTGCAAAATTAACCTACCACGTTTCCTCATTCTGAAAAAATAAACAATACCGGTTTACAATTTCAACAACATCAACCAGCAGAAGTGTCAGTGATCATTGAAGAGAAGAAGTAAAGCAAGGCAATGGTAGCAGGTGTGTTTTGAAAGTATGTATAGAGATAGCATCATCACAGAAGAATGATCTCACCAATTGGAGAGTGCAGAAGAAGATCAGCATACATCGTCCTGAACAGCACCCCATTCTCTCTGCGTAAACGGGTTTCAAATACGCGAATCGAAACAGCAATATGACTTTTAATAAATTCAGAGGGGCAAATGTAATAGTCCCATATCCAAACAAGCTCTCTGGTGTGGGGACGTGTCGTGGTTTGCGGTGGTGGAATAAAACTGGCGGAGATGGAAAACACGTAAGGTCTGTTTTACAACGAGGGGGAGGGTAGGGGGCATAGTAAAAGCCCTACTCCGATGCTCCGGTAGGTGTGGCGCTAAGGACGCTTGGATCTTTACACTACTAGTGTAAAACGCCAGTAGGTGGTGGTGCTGCTAGAAGGGACAATGCCATACACGTTGAGTAGCCTACTTGTGCACAAGACCCATAAAAAATAGTCTCCGTGATATTTTCTCAAATACAGGACAAACAAATATCGGTCCATTCTTTCCCCCAAAATTGTTAACTTTCAAGCAACCCTCATCTGTGGTCATTTACAAACATTCCATAGGCCCAGAGGAACCCACTGGTTCCCACATTGTGGGCCGTGGAAGTAGGCGCCTACTAAAAATAGAAATCCCTCATGTAGGCTATAAGCCAAACAGGGAAACGCGAGCATAGGGAAACCTGCGCACGTCATTGTGCGTGTGTTTGGGTGATGCTGAAGGACAGCTGCACTCAATAGGCCGGGTTGGAATCACCTTGATGAGGGCACACTTTTTCATACGGCTTTTATTTTATACTCCAGCTTTTAGTGACCTGTGACACAGTAAAATAGGCTACTGAATAATAGGCCTATTCGTTTTCTAAATCCAGTGATGTGATTAGCCTGACCAACCAACCTTTTTTACCATGGTGATTACAAATCAATACCACTCAACACATAATTATTACACATTTATTAGTCTACACATGGTCATCTATTACACCACAGACGTCCACATCTGTATGATGGTTTAGATTTAAATATTATTCCAGTCTCCATGCACTCATTCGCTTCTCCGTCCTTCCGAGGGATGGCGCTAGATAGAAACAAAAGACAAATTAATAATTGGGTTTCTCCAGTTCTCTCCGTCACATGGTTCAACCATTGAGCTGAGCGAGGAATAGAGTGTAGAGAGATGGAGGGGGCTTGAGAAACTGTGGAGGAAAATCTGACAGTTCGATACAACACAGGTGATACAGTGGAAAATAGTTAATCTGTCTGCTTGCATTGCTTTTCGCTTTGGAAACGGGTGCGCATTCACAGGGGGTGGACGGAGGTGTCAAAAAATGCCAAATGCAATTATGCATTATGCTCATGTTTTCTCACACACAAGAAGCTCCGGTTATCGCCTTTAATTGATTATGCTAGTGGGGAGTGGATGGTCCGAGTGGAAGCAGAATTTGAAGGAACCGACCGAAGTGGATGCTGCGCGCCGTCGCGCATCCGGAATCTCTGAGCTGAGTGAGTATGAGATTAGCTCCTGGCACAATGCTCTGCCTCAAGCATGTCTGTCAGCATGTGAGAGAGTCTCATATATATATATATATATATATATATATATATATATATACATAATTAGATTCTAGATGTTTTTGCTGACATACATTTGATTAGCCTATTCACATTTTGCCATTTTATCATTGATTGGTCAGCATAATACATAGCATTGCGCGATTTTTTCCTTTGTGTTGTTCACAGGACCATTACCATAATTTCTAGTGGTCATACATACAATACAGCAGACACGTGTGCAACAGCCACAATGTCACTGCACTGCTTGGCTTTTATGATTCGATGTCTAATTAACCGATTTATCAGCGAAACTGCATGCGAGCAATATGGAAACGTTTCTGTGTAGCCTACGTTGATATCGCATGCCTAGCATTCAAGAGGCCTCTGTGAATCATGAAAGATAATTAACATTAGACCGATACAATTCATGTTTTCTGCCCCCTCCCCTCCTTCAAAAATTGGTAATGGGGGTCTTTGTCGTGTGCGTTGCAAGCTGCTGACCTCATTTTTCACATAGATCTTGACATGTTTTGGAAATGTTTTAATTATGGAAGGAACCATAGACTAAGGGGTAAACGAATAGAGAGCACCAAGTTTAGTCAGACAGTGAATGAAACCACGCACACACCACTGCATCGATTTGAACCTTTTTGGTGATGGCATTCATTGACAAATGCCTTCGCACTGCCAAATTCGCCTTGCGGGATCTCTGTTCACACCCAGTCTTCTCTGTAATGGTCAGTGTCATGGTGTGCCATGCCTGCTCCGTGTTTGGGCTCTAACCTGTTGTCTCCGGAACCACCGCAGTTTCAGCTATCGGAGTTCTCGATGAGACGTTAAAACCCAGCCTATGAGAGTGTTGTGGTTGGTGCAGGTAAGGGCGCGAATCATTATAGGCGCACATATCATGCTACTGGACTGATGGTTAGGAAACATTTAACACCCCTTCTCTCTATACGCACGCGCGTGTAGCCTACGTGTGTAGCCTACTTGTGGAGAATAAATATGTTTGAGCTTGCTACAGGATAAAATGTATCAAAGGAGAAGGTGGTTTGGGATTTGCTTTTGTCAGCAGCATAGGGTGCAGTCAAATTAATATTAGTTGGAGCTCAGAGCCATGGAGGGAGAGAAGAACCACAGGGCCAGTGTATGAGCAGCTTCCTGTAGTAGGCCTATAAAGTCTATAGGTCTTTATGGCATCCAATACTCACACATATGCATGGGTGAAAACACGCAACTGAGAATGCTCTCAGACAATATTCTCCCTCACTCAGTGCTAAAATGGTTAATCATTATTGCAAGCAAGCATTTGACCTCATTCACATCATTCACATCATCACAGGATCATACAATCTCTTTCTTTCTTTCTTTCTTTTCTGTCTGTCTGTCTGTCACTCACTCACTCACTCACTCACTCACTCACTCACTCACTCACTCACTCACTCACTCACTCACTCACTCACTCACTAACTACTAACTAACTCACTCACTCACTCACTCACTCACTCACTCACTCACTCACTCACTCACTCACTCACTCACTCACTCACTCACTCAGTCAGTCACTCACAAACACAGACCCATGGGTTTTGAATTGTGGGTCATTTTGCTCTGTGTTGTGTGTGTGTGTGTGGCTGGAATGACTCAGATAAAAGGTGGGACTGCTCTCTCCCAATTGATTGATCAGAATTGAAGCAGATGTGCTGCTATGCTTGCCATGGCCAGGGACAGTTGAGGACATAGAGAGAATAGAGACAATGAAATCTGTTGGCATATGAGTATGTGTGTGTGTGTGTGTGTGAAAGGTTTTGATGATGTGATGACCACCAGTAAAATGCAATCATTTGGCATCATGCTATGTCTCTAGGGCCCATCATGTGATCATGTTTTTGTGTATTGATTGACTGTATTGGTAAACAATAAGACTGATCAATGGGAATTCTACTGGAACGTTAGGCTACCTAAAGTTTCCAGAAACATTCCTAGTTTGATGCACAGAGGTTTAGTCACTTAACATAATTACCTCTGTCCACTCACTGTTCTTGACACCCGAAAGAAGTGGCAGAACTGCCATTAGCAGTATTTTGGAGGCACTTGTGAAATAAGCCCACACAAATGACTTGGAACCTCCAGAATGATTTTAAAATGTATATTTTTTGATACACATATACCCTTTGTGTGTATACTCCTTAGGGTAACCCTAGCCTACCAACTCTAAGGTGTTGCTGTTACTCCTTTAATTGTCTATGGATTATATTACTGGAGCATTGCGTGCTTCAGTTGGTCTTTCTTATTTGTTTTAAACTAAAGGAACATCCTGTAATAATTTATTTCCCTGTGCTCAACTGATAGGATAGAAATCACCCAGAGAGAGGGAGAGTGGGAGAGCGAGGGAGAGAGGGAGAGAGAGGGAGCGGGGCAGAGAGGGGCAGAGAGGGGGAGAGAGAGCGAGGTGGAGAGAGGGAGAGGTGACATGTTTTAATTACTATCTATCTATCTAATCTCCTTCTTGGCTATAAGAAGCAAATCACAGAGTGTGAGTGTCAGACACTAAGGTGGAAGCTTTCACCCTCTTACTAGGATTTTCTATGCCAAATGATTCAGTCGTTCTTTACATTGCTATTGTATTGTATTGGTAGAAACATATTTATTAGTGACTTTGATTTTGTTTTAAAGAGTGGGCCCTTTGCAACCAGCCATGAGGGGGCAATCTTTACTGCATATGATGCTTAAGGGCTGATGGTAGGTAGACAAGCACAGCCACATTTTTTAAGATTTCCATCCCAGTACCTTATTCCAGACTATGCAGATTATCCCCCCCCCCTTTCTTCACAAAACAGATTCAGACATAATTACACAATGTATGCATAAAGAGGTGCTTCAACATGCTCTAAAACTTGTCTCTATGGCCTCTCAAGGACCCACACCATATGTCCTCTCCTTAGCTCACTTATACCCCGACATCATGGCCAGTCACTACAGTAACACCCAGACAGGTAGGGCAACACAAGGGGATGTCTAGAGTGAGGGATATGGGGAAGGATCAGATTAGAAGAAGAATGAACATTTACAGTTAGGGGTTTAAACACGTAGTAGAGTGCCATAGGATGAGGGGATTTTCTCTGGCTGGAGAGAGGGGCTTTGTTTAGCAGAGGAGCCTCTGGTGGAGGGCCATTTGACTGCTCTGCTCGGAGCGCAACGCCCAATTGGTTGGTTTAGAGAAAGAGCTCCAGGGCCAGAGATTACACTGCAGTGCTGAGGCGTCATTCTGCCTAAGAACCTAGGGGGAAAGCAGAGAGAGAGAGAGACTCTGGAAATGACAGCCTCTTCTCATCATCAGCTTTTCAGCTCCTTCAAGCACCTGCCACAGAACTCCCACACACACGCTGATATTCCGGCCTCTCTTTTTCTTCCTCACCCTCCTTCCAGCCCTACTCTGCTTCCTCTCTTCCTCTTGCCTTACCCTTGCTCTCTACATATGTGGTCTGTTCTCAATGCGATTTAGATGTAGTTACACTGGAATCTGTCAGAATTGTGAATGAATAGAATGTCTTTGTGGATCCATTTCAGTGTTTCAGGATATTCTGGTGAGAGTGTTACAAAATACATATTCTAGGTGAACTCTGGGGAGGGTGTTGAAAGCAGTCAGAGACACTTGAATTCTGGTGAGAAATCTTTTACATTTTATAATGTTACAGG